CACACACACACACACACACACACACACACACACACACACACATACATGCCTGAGCTATCTTCTAAGAAGCCAATAAGCAGACTGACAACCTCAGCTCTTCCCAGTTCCAAGAACTTCTCCATGCTTCAGTTTCCCCCAAAGGGAAGCACTGCCAGTGGTCTACTCAGAACCATCCACAGAGGCAGTGATAAGCTTGCCTCCCTCAGGGTGGATGCAGAGTGGGGGGCATGGGGTGCTGGGAGGGGCACATGAGGTGGAAATCAAACACCCGCAGGGGGTCTGACCAGGAGCCGTCGGGCTCTGACGCAAGGGCTCCGGGGTTGTGAGGAATCCGGGCAAGATGAACTCCTCAGGGTAAATGGGCCTCATCTTTTGCCACAGATGAACTGTATGTGGGAGGAAATAAAAGGTTTGGAGTCTGGGTTCTATCTTTTCCACTTCCTAGCTGTGTGGCCTAGGACGGGTCACTCAGCTACTCTGCGCCTCAGCTCCTCCATCTGTTGGGAGAAAGGAAGGATGACACTTGCCTATAAATTCGCAAGGACAAAGGAGGCAAGGCTTGGTGTGCTTCATGTGCGAAGTAGGTGCTCAATAAAAGCTCACTTCCTTTCTCTGTCAGGCAGATGGGCAGCTCCTACGGGGCCCACAAGCTTCTGCTCCAGGAGGGCTGCAGGGATCGGGTGTCAGGAGCCTCCCAGACCCCTGAGAGAGGACAGCACTGTCCCCTTCCAACACTGTCACTGCGGGGAAGAGCCAGAAGTCTCAAGGTGTCAGATCCGGTGAACGAGGTCGATGAGGATGTTTTTATTTGACAAAAATTGCCACCAATGTGACAACAGAGGCCCGGAATGATAGTGCAGGGCTGAGGCCTGCCTGGGACTCTCCTCATTTGGAGGTCAGAGCCAGCATGGTCCTTAAAAGCCTGGGCCTCTGGCTGTGACCAAGAAGACCAAGAGTTGCTTGGTACAAAGTCAAACTCCACTAGCTCTGCTCCAGCCCATCCTGGCCCCATGTCACGATACCACGCGTCAGAGGATAGGCCACAAGGCCACTTCCTCCTGCTAAAGAAGACGGCTGTGGGTGTCAAACACCTGCGGACTGAGTTCGGCATGGTGGCACATGCGGATAATCCCAGCTGCTCTGTAGGCAGGAAGACTGCAAGTTCAAGGCCAGCCTGGGCAACTTAGTTAAGACTCTATCTCAAAATAAAAAATAAAAAGGCTGGAGGTAGAAGGCTCAGAGGTAGTGGAGGTAGTGGCTCAGAGGTAGAAGGTCTATAGGTTCCAACCCTATCTACTGCAGAAATGAAACAAAGCATGAAAACAGGCACAGGAGTGTCCCTTGCAGTGCCTGGCATACAGTAGGGATTTTTTTAAAAAGTCTTGGTTGTGAAACCGAGTTATTTTCTCCCTGAAAAGCTTGTTTGCACTTTCTGAGGCTTGGTGTTACAGTATTTCATCCAATCTAAGACAACAGTTATAAGAAGCACCATTATTTGACTTCCAGCTAAGAAAGAGAATCACTACCCTCATCAAGACTGAGAACAGATCAGAAAAAGCAAGCACAGGGTCAGGCCCCAAGGGCTCCACCACCATGAATGGGAAGGCAGAACAAATGGCTTCCCAGAAATGAGAGGCCAAGACAGTCAGTGTCCTGTCCATCCCGGGCAGCAGGGAGGGAGCCAGACCTTTCCTGAGAATCTGAACCTGAGGCCCGAGCGCTGCACATTGGCGTCTAAGTTCCCACCATCCATGTGGTCTGACGAGATGGAAAACAGAACACAAGCCACCACCAGCAGCTAGAGGCTGTCTGGCGCTGGGGGACAAGATCCCAAAGGCTCCCTGGAAGAACTCGATTGTAACAAGATGGGAAACTGTGAAAGCAGAAGGCTTGGGACCTTGGACGTGGTCAAGTGCAGGGAATGTCTTGTGTGGCTCTGCCCCAGGTCTGCCTGCCCAGAGCGCGCTGTGCCAGTCCAGGAGGTGGCCGCTGTCTGCCCTAGCAGCCATCCTGGTTCACCCAGGTGACAGTGGCATGCACTGGTCTGCCCCTGAGTCAGTGTGTGTCTAAGGAAGGGGACGCCATGCCCCCGGCCAGGGCGGGGCTCCAGTTAACTCTCAGCCTGGCTGTATCTCAGAAAGCAATGATGTTGCTGGCGTGGGTGCTGGGTGAACATCTGGTGGCACGGAGCTGGTAAGCACGTGGGCGGCTGCAAATGTAATCAATCTTAATTATTCTGTTTACACAAACAAGCAGGCTGAAGCCAATGACGCAGCTGAGCTGTCACTGACTTGGGTCTTGGAGAGAGGAAGAAGTGTGGAGGGCAAAGGGCTCATAAATAGCTGCCTCAGGGCCGGCGTTTTCCTTTCCTCTGCACTAAAAATAATAAAAGGAGTGTTTTTAAGTTGGCAAGATTACAAGCTCTGCAGACAGCACTTATTTTCCACCTGTCAGAGGGCCTGAGTGTGCAGTGTGCACGTCTGTCTCTCTCTCTCTCTCACACACACACACACACACACACACACACACACACACACACACACACTTGCGCACACCGGAACTAGAAAAACATAACCTGAGGACTGTGACACTTTGGATCTGGAGTGGTCTCCAAAAGCCCACGTGTCACAGGCTGGGCCCCCAGGGGGGTACTACTGGAAGTGCAAACAGGCCCAGTGGGCCATGGACCAGAACCTCCAAAACTGATTCCAAACAAACCTCTTCTCTTTATAAGCTGGTGATCTCAGCCACTTTGTTACAGCAACAGAACGCTGACAAGCACAGGCAAATCAGCAAAAGATAACACAAGGACAAACTAGGGAGGATTTTACCCTGAAAAGTGCCCCTGCTCTCTGCTCTCAGGAGAGGCAGGGACAGCATCTGCAGAGGTCTCGGGCCTCCTGCACAAAACAATTGAGAGCCTACTGTGTGCCACGTACTTGGACAGGAGCTTTGCCCACTGTTAGCTCGGTGGATTCCCATTCTTTGCAGTGGAAGACTATGGTTAAGTAACTTGCTAAAGGTGTCCCATTCATGTGCAGGCTGGATCTGAGTCCAGAATGTAAAGCAGTAGTTCTCAAAGTGTGGTCCCCGGCTTCAACTGGGAACTCATCAGAAAGGCAGATTCTCAGGCCACTCCAGACCTAATGGATCAGAACCTCCAGGCATGGGTCAGCAGTCTGGTTTTCACAAACTGCTGACACCAGGACTTCTACATTGCTCCTTTCTGCACGGCAGGCTGAGGTGCCTTAGCTCAAAGCCAGCCAGCCCCAAATTGTGTAACCCACTTGTTTTGAATGTAGCCTGAAGAAGCAGACTTTGCAGTCTCCTACAGCCTCTCGACTATTTACCCCTCAGACCTGTGGCCAGCACTGCTAGCCATAGACGAGCTGAGCCTCAGAGTCATGAACCCCCCGGCCTCAGTCAGTGTCCCCAAGCTCTCAGAGCAGAGCCTCTCACTGTGCTGCTGAGCAACATCAGCTGCATCCAGAGGCTCCCTGTGACTCCTCTCTACCTGGCCAGGTGTGCAGTCTAGGGGGACAAGCTGCTGCTCTCTAGCTCAGGGATGTGTTCTGAGTGCCTAAAACAGAGTGCGGCACCAAGTCTGCACTCAGTACCCACTGGTGGGATAAGTGAGTGAGAGAGGAGGTGGCCATAGACGTGGTGGTGGTGAACACTCATCAACATGTTTGTCCCAGGCTGCAGGACGCTTGAGCCTCCTCAAGTTTAGTGAGCTCTGACTGTGCGAGGCACCAGGGGACCCAGACAGGGATCCCACACAGGCCCTGTCCTGGGGCTGTACAAATGGGGCTCGCACCCGGGGAGGGGCTGGAGGTACAGGAGCTAGAGGCAAACTGGACCCCTGGTCCTGGGTCCCCCACTTCCCAGTGGGAGCCACCCATCCGTGGGCCACCTGCCTTTCCAGATGTTCTTCCCTATTCCAGGAGGAGGCTGCTGTCCTACGAGAGGGGGAGCCAGGCCTTAAGCTACAGGAAGCTGCTCCTTCCTTACAGAACAGTACACTGATCTTCATGAGTTAAATAAAGTTCTGTTTTACATACGGGGACACTGAGCAACTTGCTCAAGGCCACAAAGCCATTGTCCCGGCTGCACACCCGCCCGGAGGCTCCGAGCAGTCATAGAGGGTGCAGTGGAGACACAGGCCCACTAGAAGCCAGAGGCCCCCATCCTTCCCAGTGTGTCTGTCCTCACCCTCACGCTCTCAGAGCCAAGGGTCCCTCCTCTATCATGTCACCTGTCACACCGTGTACTCCACACACCTCCGCCAGCCACCCCTCCAAACCCAGGCTTCTGACTCCCCACAAATGCCCCTTGGACCTTGTGGAACCTTCTGGAAAGCCCGGCACTGACCACCGCCCTCCAGGCGTGCTGCCCTCTAGCTGTGCCAGCAGATGTTGACGCTTACCTTCTGAGATCCGCTCAGCTCCCCTGCAGAACTCCGTGGCTGTTGTTATAGGGAAGGAGAGGAAAAAGGGGAAAAAATCAGTGAGGTGAGCGAAATGTAAATCCCAGCAGAGCCTGTCATGGAATATTCATTTTGTCAAGGGAGTGTTTCTCTAAAATTTCTGGTCATCTGGACAACCTGAGCCAGCGGGGTTCGGATTTAACGAGCTTTTTAACACACTCCGGGCCAGCTGGGAGTCTGGCAGGCCTGGCCCGGCGGGGCTGCCCTCTCGCTGGGGCTGCGCTGCCACCTAGTGGCCGACTGGCTACTTCGGGACCAAAGGAGCCCGCAGCGCTGGGGCCTGGAAGGGACCGGGGATTTAACCTCGGTGCCTCAGTTCCCTCATTGGTTCAGGGGAATAGTAGCTATCTCCTTTGCAGGGTGGGTATGAGGACACAGCACTTCCTGAAGGTTATTGTTACTGGTGCGGCTGTTGGAATTATTTTGTGTAGCAGGCACAGGGCCCAGGAGAGGAACCTGTGTGTTCCAAGTCACACAGCAGGTCAGCGGAGGGGTGTGGCTGGACCCCAGGGCTCCTGATGCCACCCACAACACAGCAGCGGGACTGACGCCGGCTCTGCTGTGACGGGATGGCCACCTCAGCCCGGCATGTGGGTGCCCAGGACCAAGCACCGCAGGCCGAGCTGTCTCCCTGCCGTGAGCAAGGCCCAGCCACTGTCCTTCCCGGGGCTCCGCGCTCACCAGCAGGTGGCCAGCATCCTTGAGCTGGGATTTGTACAGCATCCAGCAGTAGCGCAGGTCTTCCAGCTCCTCTGAGACCGGCCTCGAGGGCCCAAGATGAAGGAGGTTCTCCAAGAGGTGCTGCCCTTCTGGGATTCGCGCCTGCAGCTCCTGGGGGAAATGCAGTGTCATGGTGCAGCTCAGGTGGCGCAGACCGCCTCAGCAGGCTGGTAGGATGCAACTCAAGAGCCACTTGGCAGGGAGGCACAGGGATGGGGAGACAGAACGGGGTGGGGGGGCTCATCTGTGCCGGCGGCTGCTCTCCAGATGGCAGAACGTTACAGAGTGACTCCCACAGGAACAGGCCAGCTGGACTGCAGACCCTGTGGCCACTTCCCACTCTGACATCCAGGGCCATGTCCTCCCAGGGGCTGACCCTAAGGGTTGCCACCGTTATGAGGTGATCCCAGGGGAATGTGCCTTTCTCCTGGCCTTGCTGAGTCTGGCCGAGGGGTGTTGGATTAGGTGGATGTTTCTATCAACACAGTACAGGACACTGGGCTCAGCTGCTCAGTGCCTGCTAGAATGCAAGCTGGGCAAGAGTAATCGTTCTGACCCAGCTGGAGGTGGGAAGCAAGGAATAAATACCAAATCTGAGACAGCAGAGGTGGCCAGAAAGGACTTCCTGGTGATAGGCAACAAGACCATAGGGACCAAATCACTCACAGAGGACAAATTATCCACAACAGTTTAAAGCCATAGAAGGATTAATGAGGGTGAGGCCTATCAGCTCGAAACCTGGAAAGGGAGGCTGGACATACAGCTCACGAGCACAGCACTTCCCAGCATGCACAAGGCCCTGGATTCCATCCCCAACACCCCCAAACCAAACCCAAACAACAACATCAGCAAACACTTTGGGAAAGGATGGGGACCCCAAGGAGGAAGCCCTGGGTTCCAGCTGAGGGCCCACAGGCTTCCTCTTGGAGTGAGGTGAGCCAGAAGTGAACCCAGGCTGTGTGGACCCGCAGCCCAGCTCCAGATAATCTCAGCGGTCCAGGGAGCTGCAGGCCTGGATCTTGGTTCAGTGGTCCCAGAATAATAAAGCCTGCTTCTTTCATTAGCTAAAAAGTCCCTTCTAAAAAAGAGATTATCCTAAATCCCTGATTACTCTTACACATATTTTGTCAAACACAGTGTCCAGCACACAATCAGAACAGCCACAATAGACACAAGACACCAAGAACAAGAAGCAGAAATAATACCCAACAGAGATTTTCCGAAAATGCCTTGAGACCTTGAATTACGAGACACCCTATGAAGCAGCTACGTCCACCAGGTTCAGAGGATTAAAGACAAGCTTAAACATTTCAGCAAGGGCCTGGGAGCTAGAAAAGTGACCCAAAAAACTGTTAAAAGAGCTAAATAGAAATTCTAGAATTGATCATTACAATGACAAACATTAAGAACTCAACAGGCACATGCAAAAGCAAGTGAGACACAGCTAAAGAGAGGATTAGTGAACTGGAAGATGGATCAGAAAAAAAATACTCCGAATGCAACATGAAGAGACAACAGGATCAAAAACACACAAGAGAGGCAAAGTGTCATAAGGCTCACAGTGAGAAGGAATAATAATCTGTTTAAATGACATCAGAGAAAGAGAGAAGGTAACAAGACAGAGGCACAATTTAGAATATAATGTCATAAAATCTTCCAGAAACACTCTAGACTATGGATTCAGCAATTCAAATGAGTCTCAAGCACAATAAACAAAAAGAAATCCAGACCCTAATATATCATAGTGAATTTCATAAAAATAAGGAAAAGGAGAGGCAGGCTGGGGCCTGGTTGGGAATGGTCTTACACGATAAACTTCGGGTTTGAACTCGGCACTGAAACACTCCCATTGGGATGACAAGACCACCATCTGTGTTTCTGAATGAACCATGTGTGGCTGTAGAATGAGCTGTGACCCAGGTGGGGGCCCAACAGAAAGAAGAGAGGCTATGGCCGTAATCAAGGCAAAATGCAGCCCGGGCCTTGGTCTCAGATTTCTCAGCCTCCAGAACTGTAAGCCAGTAAATCTCCACTCACCAGAAATGACCTGGTCTCCTGTGGCAGCACAAATGCACTGTGGGTAACCAGGTGCAGGAGAGAAGGAGGAGGAGTCAGGGCAGATTATGGGCAGAAATGGCCCTGGCTCACCTGCCCTCTCACCAGCCATAACCCTACCCTTTGTCACATGACCTTGCTGTCCCTCCCACTAGGTAGGGAGCCTGTCTTTCTTCCCTTTGAGTCTGGGCTGACCTTGTGACTCTCTGTCCAAGAATGCAGCAGACTTAATGAAACCCGGTTCAGGTTGAGGCCTACAAGGGCCTTGCCTGCCTCTGCTGTGTCCCACAGAAGAGAGGGAGACTGGCAGATGTGTCTTGGCCCCTTGAACTGACAGAAGCCAGGCCAAGCTTAGCCTAAACTGTCGAGAGTCAGAGTCACAAGTTAAATAAATAGCTGTTGTTTTAAGTCACAAGCTTTGGGCTGCTTTGTTACACAGCAACAGCTAACTGATATATAGGAGTCAAAGGGTTAGTGGTGACATTTTCTGAGTGGGAAATACAGACAGAAGCTGACTGAATGAATGAATGCAAGAAAAAATTCTAAAGTATCTGCAGCAAAGAACATTTAAGAATCATTATTCATGCACAAGTGAGAATGGCCCCCAAATGACCCTATGTATTGTGGTCCTCTGTTTGAGGGACTCTGGTGGAGCTGGGCATGGTGGCAGAGGCCTGAACTCACAGCCCTCTGGGAGGCTGAGGCCTGAGGGTCTTGAGTGTGGGCCCAGCTTGAGCAACTTAGCAAGACCCTACCTCAAAATTAAAAAATAAAAACAATAAAGGGCTGGGGATGTAGCTCAGCACAAAGGCCCTGGGTTCAATCCCCAGTAAATCACCAAAGAACTCCCCAGTGACAAGCACATCTCTATAGGGTGCAAACCCCAGGGGAACAAACCTGCAGCTTTGCCTCTCTGGTCCTCCTGTCCTTGGCCGAGGTGGCTCTCATCGCAATGATTCTAACCAGCTTGGAATTCTCCACCTGCAGCCACTGTTCAAAGTTCCTCTGGAGCTGGGAGAAATCTTCATGGCTGCCTTCACCTTCCTCCAGCAGATGTGCCTGCAGGGATCACGTGACCAAAGTGACAGCGGCATGGCAGAGGGGAGGGATGAGGACAGGATGCCCAAGGGCGAGGGAGAGGCTGGGGTGAGGAATGGAGTGAGGACAGGAGCATGCCTGCCGGCGCCTCCCTGGTTCCCCAGTGACGTCACCAATCTCCTTTCCAGGATGGCTATCAGTGACCAGCCCTCCACTAGGCCTTCCCCCTGGCTCAGGCTCTGCTGGCCTCCCTTTCCCTGAGCGGAGCCTGAAGACGTCTTGGACCCTGGAACTCACGCTCCCTCCCTCTGGGTCCTTGCACACTGTCCCCTCTGCCTGGCCCGACTTTGCTTGGCTCCTCCCCTCCACTCCTCAGCATCCTTGCAGGCTCAGCTGACCTTTCATCACTCCTAGAAGGGTTTCCCTGCCCTGAAGCTGGGTCACAACCGCCCCACCACAAGCTCGCCTCAAAAGTGGACCCTAAAGCCAGCAGCCCAGGTATTCCCTTGTGAGCCGCAAGCAATATGAAACCTGCACTGGAATCAGCTGCACAGTCCGAAAAGCTGTCTAAGGTCAACATGTCATTCACAGGTACCCAGGCTCCAAGTCCCGCCTGGAACACAGTCACACTCAGAACTGGTGCTTTGGGTACAATTCTGCATTCAAACGCAGAGGGAATGAAGCAGTGGGAGAATAATTAATTTGATTTTTTTTTTTTTTGAGACAGGGTCTTGCTCTGTTGCCCATGCTGGCCTTGAAATTCTGGGCTCAAGCAATCCTCCTGCTTCAGCCTCCCAGATAGCTGGGACTATAGGCATGTGCCTTATGCCCAGCTTGAAGGGTTTTAAGTAATAATATTCTTCTCAGCATAGCTTAACTTTTTAAAGGCAGCAAGGGAAAGTGATGAATGACACCGTATAGTTTTCACAAACCACAGCTATGTCACAAAAACTAGCCCCTATAGGATCTTGGGTTGCAATCAGGGGTCAGTGGGAAGTTGTCCACCTGACTCTCCTCCTTTGGGGGCGGCCAGAGCTGCAGAGAGGTGAGGAGCAGCACAATGTGCACGATCTTTAGAGATGCCCACCACCTGCCCAGTGGCCTGGCCCTGCAGTCTGGGACCCCCGAGGCCCTCTCTGTGGTGCACAGCGCTCCTGGGCCACACCAGGAGCAAATGGGATAGGAGGCATCCACGTCCCAGGGGCTGAGCGCGGGCCTGGGCAGGGAGGGGGCCGTGTGGAGACCCCGTCCTCCTCGTGAGCTGGATCTGACCCCCCGGACGCCTAGCAGACAGACTCACCCCGTGCCGCCGGCGCCTGGGGATAGGATCCAGGGGGTTGATGAGGAACCCCGACTTTGGGATGTTGTTGGTGAAAACCAGCTTCCTCCCTGAGTCCACCTCTGTGCTCTGCAGCTGCCGGTTTCTGATGAGGCTGAGAAGACAAAGCGCGCCCACTCAAGGCGGGAATGTGACAGGGACCCACAGGGCCACAGGAGAAGTAACAGCATCGGGACCGCAAGGCGGCAGATTTCTGGGTGTCCCTACGGACACCGGGTCAGCAGCCACCCTTCAGGCTGGCCCGAAGCTTCCATGTCACACCCACATCCGTGTTTTTCCTTTAAACCTACATTCCCTGCACGAAGGTACAGAAGAGGAAACTGAGGCTCAAGCCAGGTCGGCTGGTGGCCACCTCCCCAGTCCAGGTCCTTTCCCAGCTGCTCCTGCCCCAGCCAGAAGTGCCAGCTGGACCCGAGCTGGAGATGCCCGCGGGCACCTGGTACCACACCAGGCCAGGCCCCCACCGCTGAGGACACCGGGAGGCAGAGGCCCTCTCACCTCAGCATGTTCTCCTCCAGCTGCTGCAGGGCCTGCCAGGACTCCGCCAGCTCCTTCAGCTCCTCCTGGACCATGGCCACGCCCTCCGGAGAAGACTTCTCCATCACCAGCCGGCCGTGCGCCTCCACCAGGGCCAGGCAGGCCTCCTTCTTGGGGAGCTCAGCTGCCAGTGTCTGAGGGACACAGATGCGTGGACACAGAGTGAGGCCTCGGGCTTGGGGTGTCTGCTTTCCCACATGGGAGTTTTGGCCAAAGAAGCTGCCTTAGGAGGATGCTCGGCAGGAAGCCACCATCTCACCTCGACCGAAGCCTCTTGGGACTTGGCATTCCACAGGCCCACATCCCCTCGGTGCGACTCCAGCGTCCGTGTGGCCATGGTGACCCACTGCTGCAGCTCTAGCAGCCGGCAGCTGAAGGTGCAATGCTCCTGCACACTCTGCCGACACCTGTCCATGCGGTCCTGCGGATACCCGGAGGCCCGGGGCCCTGAGCAGTGGTCCCAAAGGGATCCCAGGCACCACCCCAGCCCTGCAGGATGCCCAGACTGCCTGAGCCTGGCCCCTACAGAGCACCTGGCCACAGGCTGGTGCCCAGCACAAGGCTTCATCCAGGGGGCCGCCTCTGGTTTAAATGCCAAACCACTAGGGCAGGTGAGGGAGGACAGCTGTGGCTCTTGACCACCCCTGGTGCAGTGTTTGCCTGGGCACCTGGTAAACCTGAACCCAGGTGAACCTTCTGGCCCAGCCTTCACACCCCTGGCATGTGCACCTGTGCAATGCATGGTGCTGCCCGCCATGGCTCCAAGCCACCAAGTGTCCACCGACTCTACACTGGGTGGTGGCACACTCCAGGGGGGTCACTCTGCTGCCACGTGCAGTGTGGTGGATGAATTTATAACCGTCCGAGGAGGGTAGAAGCTGCATGCTAAAGACAGATTCCTGTCCTGTTCCATCCACAAATGCTTTCGATGCTGGTTTAAGTCTGAGGTCAGGGTCACCCTGGGGGTCGGGAGTGACAGTGACCAGTGGGCATGAGGGAGGCTGGAGTGACTGCGTTTCTCTGGGTGCTGCAAACACGGATCTGTTTAGTTTTTTAAGCTCCACTGAGCTGCACATGTAGATGTTTACTTTTCTGTACAGGATTACACTTCAAAAGGAAGCTTCCCGAGCCAGCCATGCTTTCCTACTTCTTCCCTGGTTCATTTCCTGGGCCTGTCTGTTGCGTGGCTCTTTGGCCTGGGCCTTGTTCTTCCGTCTCCAGGAAGGTGGGGACTCTCCATCCTCCTGGTCACACTGGTGGGGATCCTCTGGCCCCAGGGACTGCTGTCCCAGTTCCCTGGCTCTGGGCCTTGTGGCGCTCTACTGACCACCAAAGGCCCTGCCCTCCTGCATCCCACAAATACTGGGGAGTCGGGAACACCAGACCAGGGAGGGACGCTGGGCACCCCTGGGTCTGTGGCCAAACACTCTCTAAACCCACTCCGCTGGTGCTCACTCGCTCTGTCCTTCCCCACATCAGCCCGAAGGCCTTTGGTGGGCCCTGTTGCGCAGAGCTCTGACCTGGACGGGATGTGGCTGTGGGGGGAGGGCCATTAAAATTCACTTTAACAAGCGCTGAGCATCAAAACAGAGGGTCATTTTCTCTGTGAAAGTGCTCGAGTTGCCACCAGAGGGCGCCGCGGCCAAGGCTTTTCGGCTGCCGAGGGCTGCGGTACCTACTGCACCACCGCACACCGCAGCCTGCTGCTTTGCTCCGCGTGGTGGCCCTTACACAGTGAGGAGCTGCGGATTTTCGTGGTCGATCTCTCTCCATGTTCTGACATTATGTTTCCTCTACCCTCAGAGCCTAGAACAGTGCCCAGCACTGGAGGTGCTTATAATCATCTGTTACATAAATGAGGAGAAGGAAGGAAGGAAAATAAAGGGGTCAGAAAGAATGGAGGAGCCAAGCATGGTGGTGCCCACCTGTAATCCTGGCACTTGGGAGGCTGAGGCAGGAAGATCGCCATGAGTTCCAAGCCAGCCTGGGCTGCACAGTGAGACCCTGTTTCAATTCTGCCACCCCAAAAGGAATGAAGTAAGGAGGGGGAGAAAGGCCCCAGTTATGTAGGGTTCCAGAGGCCTGGCTGTTGCAGCTCAGGCACGTGCACCGGAGCTTACCTTCAGGGACCTGTGCAGGGTCCGGTAGTCAGAGGAGAGCTGATCCATTTTGTGCTGGTGGCTGGAATCCCCCCGGACAAGAGGCCTCATGGCCTCTATCTGCATCTCCAGCTCCAGTCCCTCCTCCTGCAGGCCCTGCAGCAAGAGAGAAAGAGTGCTTGGTCCCTGCCTGCCCGCAGCCACCAGTTCGAGGACAGCCTCGGCTACACAGTGAGTTCAAGGCCAGGCTGAACGGCATAGAGACCCCATCTAAAAAACCAAAAACAAAAGCAAGTTCTTTATCCAGCTAACACTTAACACTGATCAGCCCATGCACAGTCCACGGGTGATCTAAACATATATTCTTACTAACGGCAAATCAACATATGAAAAAATGTTCAACATCACTGCTCATCTGAGATGCAGATGAAAACAACGCTGAGATTCCACCTCACTCCAGAAAGAATGGCTGCTATCAAGAAATCAACCAATAACAAATGCTGGCAGGGCTGTGGGGAGAAAGGAACACTACTCCACTGCTGGTGGGAGTGTAGACTGGTGCAACCACTGTGGAAATCAGTGTGGAGATTTCTCAAAAAACTAAAACTAGAGGTTCCATTTGACCCAGCTAGTCCCCTGCTGGGTACCTTCCCCAAAGAATTAAAAGCATCAGACCACAGTGATATATGCACACCCATGTTTATAGCAGCAGTTTGTAACAGCTAAATCTTGGAAACAGCCCAAATGCCATCAGCTGACGAGTAGGTAAAGAAGATGTGGTTTTGTTTTTTTTATATAAAATGGAATACTACTCTGCCATAAAGAAGGATGAGCTTCAGACATTTATAGCTAAATGGATGGACCTTGAGACCATACTCCTAAGTGAAATAAATCAAACACACACATTAAATACCTCATTGTTTCTCTGCTGTGAGAAACTGAATGTGAAAATAAGGACTGAGATGTATAATGGATGTTGGGAAATGGGAAGAAAGTGTTCAGACGGGAGGGGAACAAGGGAGGAGGGAGGGAGAAAGGAAGGGACAAGAAAGAAGTGAAAATAGAAGGAAAAAATGGAAACAAAGCTTCTGTACACAGGGAGGGGAGGGGGCTTGGGGGAGGGAATGGGATAAAATAAAATTCATTAAAAATATGTTCTCACTCTCAGAAGTGGCAGATTCACCTAAACGCTTCTCAACCCTTGGGACTAATTAGCAAAGTAACGGTAGTGTTAAGTAAGTCTAGTGGTAGACTTTGGAACTGAGGGGGAAATAAAAGGCCTACTTATTATTTTGCTAGAGTCAAGAATCAGCAGTTTGGTTCATTAATTTTGTATCATTAACATGTGCCAGGAATTGTAGCAATAGTAATAAAAAAGAATCAGCAGTTTGGGGGCGTCAAAGGCTCTGCTGAGGCTGGGGACCCCCAGATAAACAAGCAGAGATTCCCCGAAAGAAATCAGCTCTCAACCCAGGATCTAAACCTTGGCTGGAGCTGGCCGCTGCCTGTTGGCCACAAGAGGGCGCTGCTTCCAGGTACAACTGGGTCCCTGAGCGGGACCCCTTACCTGCAGCCGCAGGAGCTGGGCCTTTTTCCCCGGAAGGTCCGGCTGAAGCCCTTTCTCAGCTTGGACCCTGGCCCGGAGGTCCAGCAGCTTCTTCTGCAGGGGCTCGAAAGCAGCCCCAAAGTCTTTGTGCTGAGCAAGCGAACTCTAGAGAGAGAACAGGCAGCTGCGCGCTTAGAGCTTCACATCCGGGCACCTCGGAAGACCTGCACTTGGATCGGGTGGCGTCGTCCTGGCCAACTCGCACGCTAGGGCCCCCTCCTCCAGGAAGCCTCCCCTGAGCCCTGGTGCCTGTCCTTGGGTTCACGCCTAACTCTTTGGCCACGCCCTGTTAGAACTGGCCAAAGTACCCCCCCCCCCAGGGGCCGGTTTGTGTAAATAAAGTTTTGCTGGGACACGGCCACTCCCATTCGTCCCCCGCTTTCCCCACCACAGTGGCAGAGTGGGGCCGGCAGAGCTTCCCGAACACCGACAGCGCCCAACAGTTGCAGGAGCTCCTGTGCGTGCCCCGCCGCCCTCACCTGCAGTTTGCTCTTCCTCCGCAGCAGGCCGCTGTGCAGCAGGTCTCTGTCCCGCAGGCAGCTCTCCGCCTGCTCCAGGAGGCCCGAGGCTCTCTCCTGGCCGAAGACGCTGCCCAGCAGATCCCTCTTCAGCGGCAGAGACCCCAGCTGCTCCTTCAGGCGGGAGCTCTCCACCAGGGCCGCCTGGGGATGACAAGGCCATGAACCAAGGAGCGGGACCCTGAGTTTCATGATCCACTCTCATCCCCCCAAGTCCATCCTGTTCCCAAAGGTGGCGTAGGAATCCACTGCCTCCCACCCCTGCCAGGGTGGTGCAGGCCTGGGAGCGCGATGCGGGGATTCAGGAAGGCTTCCTGGAGGAGGGGACTCCGCAGAGGGCTCTGAAGTACAGGAGTTTAGCCGGCAAAGAGGGGACCGGTAGGGACTCAGAAGCCTCCTCTGGTCACACAGTGGCCCCCGTGCTGCCTGAGCTTGCATAACCCAGGTCCTCCTCCAGGAAGCGGCCCTGACCGAGTGCCGCTCCCACTCACTCCGCACACCCCTCAGCCTCTCCAGCTGTTCTAGGTGAGAACCTTTCACTTCTCTACAGATGGTGGTCTGGCGCCTGCATCTGCCCAGACTTAAGACCCTGAGCAGGGTACAGGGCCGGGAGCAGGCGTGTGGCTGCAATCCTGGAGTGATCATTTCCTAAGCAAAGTCTTACCAGTGCTGAGGGTGGGTTCAAAGTGAAGCTTGGGGAAATCAGAGAGGGGGCAGCACAGAGCACAGCCCCGTAAGGCCCGGGACTTCCCGGAGGGAGGTCGTTGTGGTGCACACGGCTGGGTCAGCTGCAGTGTGGCCTGACAGTGAGGGTACCCGGCCGTGCCAAGCCACGAGGGTCAGCCTCGGCCCTCTGGGGAGTCATGTTCACCCCCTGGCCCCAAGGACAGGTGCTGGGTCACAGGAAGTAAGAACTCGGACTGGGGAGTCATGATTGCAAGTTTGGATGCTAGGTTAGCTGGGAGGCCCTGGGCAGCCGTGTGCCTGTTTCCTCTTTTGTAAGACAGGCACGGCTCGTGGGATTGTTACGGGGTTTAAATGAGATGATGCCTCTCACATTGAACACAATGCCTGATGTCCAGCAAGCACTCAGGAAGGACAGCTTCTCAGCCACGAGGGGCTGAGCTGAGTCTCCCCAAAAAGATATGGCAACATCTTAACTTCCACCAGTACCTCGGGGTGTGCTCTTTGAAAACAGGTTCTGTGCAGACTTGAGCTAAAATAAGACCACCAGGGTGTTTCTCATCCAGCATGACCAGAGTCCCTGAGCAGAGGGAAGCTCCGTTTTTTTGTTTTGTTTTGTTTTTTGAGACAGGGTCTCACTATACTTGGGGTGATCCTCCTGCCTAAGCCTCCTGAGTGCCAGCGTGTGCCACTGGGCCCGGCAAAGAGGGCAGCTCTGAACACAGGGATTTCCCAGAAGGGGACGCCACCAGGACACCCAGGAGAGGCAGCCATGGGATTCAGAGGCAGAGCTGGGGAAATGAGGACCAACAAGTCTGCCACCAAGGGATGCCCAGTATGGCTGGCAAACCCCGGAAGCTGTGAGAGGCAGGGAAGAGCTCCCCCTCCAGCCTCAGGGGAGCCCAGCCCCGAGACACCTTGATCTTGGACTCCTGGGCCCCAGACCCTCGAGACATAAACTTCTGGTGTTTTAAGCCACCCAGGGTTTGGTGCTTTGTTTGGGCAGCCAAGGCCACCTTTGGGGCTCAGCACTTTGGTTCTGGAGGCTCCTGGCTGATCCACAGAACACTCGGAGGCTGGGCGAAGGAGCTGAGCCAGAGAGCTGGAAGGGCATGGTCGTGCAAGACTGCAAGCCCAGCACTCTGGGAGGCTGAGGCAGGAGGACTGGGGGTTGGAGGTCAGCCGGTACAACCTAGCAACTTAGTGAGATCAAAATGTAAAAAGAGCCCAGGACGTTGTTGAGTGCAAAGACTCTGAGTTCAGTCCTCAAAGAGTTGGCAATTTGAGCCCCAGCCTACAAAATCCAGCCAGGCAGGTGAGGGTGGTACAAGGCCAGCGTGCAAATAGCAGGCAGTGTCTGATCGCCAGAAAACTCAAATCCCAGCCCCGCCTGCTCTCACCTGCAGCTCCTGGGCCCAGGGCCCTGAGCCACACTCTAGAAAGAGTCGGCTTCACCTCTGGCCTCACTAGGTCCTGGTTTGCTTTCTACCTCACTGATGAGGAGAAGATGGAAAAACGACAGTGACAGAGTGGGGACTCCCTGTGGGGAGGTCAGGCAGGGCTGAGTCCTCAAGTAGGATGTGTCCTCTGTCCAGGACGGGATCCCTCAACAGTTCAGTCATGATAAAACAGTTCTTCCACCTTGCAGAGCTGTGTCTGGAACCCGAGGTGAAAGCAGGCATGAGAACATTAGCCAGGAATCTGCTACCCGCAGTTCAGCCCGGCTCAGCCTCTCCCTGAAAAATGACCTTGAACAAGCACCTTAACTTCTCACTGGCTCCCAACAGTTCCTCCTGTGCCAGTGAGGATCATGGTAGACATGGGACCCAAAACTTGTACACATAGATACAGATCTGCCACATCTCAATTAAGGCAGTGAAAACCTGGAAAGAATCAGTGGATGTACTTAAATTATACATACTATAGGGTGGAAAATTACACAGCTGCTAAAAATGATCGCTTTCTTTGAGTGATTTTTAACTGCTGCCCAAGGCAAAGGCCAAAGGTGTGGGGAGAAAATATCACATACAACTATATGGCCTAACCCTAAACACACAGAAACTGCAATTAATCTAATCTCCTGTCTCTTGCTGACCATGTCTCATGGAAACATCCAGTTGGATTTCATCAGATACAAAGGGCAGACTTAGGATGCTCTGACTTAAAGCTGAGGCTTGTGGCACTCATGAAATTCACCTTGGGGCATCTTGAAAAGGTGACCATCACCTTCGGAACCTGGCCATGGAGCAAGGGGCCTACGGACCTTTGGAAGAAGGACCATGCTCTGCAACTTAAAACAAAGGAAAGAGTCAGGCATGGTGGTGCTACCCTAAGGCAGGAGGTTTTCCACAAGTTCAAGGTGAGCTTGGGCTACATAGTAAGTTCAAGGCCAGGCTGAATCTCACAGCAAGACGCTGTTTCAAACAAAACAAAACAATAGCGAGAGAAAATGAACTGTTCTTTCAACATGAGCCCCAGACAGAAAATCACAAGGTTAAATACTCTAAAATGCAGGCCTTGGGCTGTGGCCGAGCAGTGTCCTCAGAGGTGGGTGGGTGCCAACCCTGGTTAATGATTCTCCCAGTAATACCAGGCTGCACAGAAAAGGCAATGGAAGAAGTGTCCCAACATATTAAGAGCAGTCCTATGGCTTGTGGGACTGTGGGGGTTTTTGTTTTCTTCTTCAGAAATCTTTATGTTCCCCAAACATGGATCCCTTTCATAACCAGATTGAAAATGGGTGTAAAATGGAGGCTGCCACCAGGCACATTTTGGAGTCTCTTCTCCCTCTAAGAATCTCTGGATGCAAAAACATTTTGTGGACTTCAGAGTTCAGTGATAATAAGGCAATGTTTACAGCAAACTGGGCCTTTGTGCAGCCAGGCATCGAGGGAGACACTGCTGGCTGCTCACCCCACAGCCGTTCTTCCTGGTCCCTCAGCAAACAAGCAGCATCTTGTTTGGGAATCTGGGTACCCAGCAAAGGATCCAGGATTATAGCATCATTGGTACCAACGGCCCATAGCAGTCCCATCATCCTCAGCCAGAGATTGGTCCAGGGATGGTCACGTGGCCTTGTGCAGCCAATGAGATGCGAGGGCTGTGTGCTGGGGCTTGTGGGAGGCTTTTCCTCCCTGTGACAGTGGATGTGGTGATAGAGCCACTTCGCCCCCCACGCAACAGATGTTGCTGCTCATGGGAAGATGCATGTGTAGAGTGGCAGCAGCCACCCTGGCACTAGAAAGACATAGCTTTGGACTAGAAAGAGCCTGGTTCTGGTTACACTGTCTAGTTGTAAGTCAGCCTGCACATCTATTTTAAGCCACCACTTGTCAGGTTTTTTGTCACTTGTAGCCACAGCATAGGTAATGGTCTGAAACAGAACTGCTAAAGCTGTCCTAGAGGACGGCCCATCCTGGGGTCCCAAAGTGGGGCCCCGGACACTTCCAGGTGGGAGCGGAGTCCTGGGGTCACACCATGCTTCTCCTTCTACCCTAGAACGGAGGATGACCTTTGTCACTGACAAGTAATGACACTTGCTGTGCACTTCAGACCCACCCTCAGGGAGCAGTGAGCTCAATCCAAATATCGGAGGACCCAGGGACATGCCAGTCCCTGGGAGTGGGGGTGACACATCATGCATCAGCCGACAGTCTCCCCAGCACAGAGGCAGCCATCCTGGCTGGAGCAGGGTTACCTTGATCTGGGGCAGGAAGGTGTGGATGGAGGGCAGGTCTGGCAGGCTGATGGTGACATCCAGGAGCCGCTGGGCCAGGGCCCGCCACAGCTGCAGATCATGGAGGGGTCGCTGGAAGCATTGCCACAGGGCCACCCTGGTGGCATTGCACAGCCTGGTGCTCTTCCCCTTCATGCTGCAAGGACCGGCAGGGCACAGACGTGAGAGGAGAGGGGTCAGTGCCGTTGTGTCCATGGCGGGAGACAAGCTGTAAGTGGGAGGGGCTTCGGTGCACTGAGATGGGCAGGCCTTAGCCACGTGTCTGGGGCTTCCTGAGGGTGAGCCCAGGGCTCCCTGGATGCGCGGGCTCTTGTGTAAGTGAGATGTGTGAGCAAGTGAAAGGGCTGGGAACAGCCGTGTGACCCTTGGTCACTCTCCTCACCTGGGAAGTGGGAACACAGGGCCCATCCCATAGTGCTCTGATGAGCACTAAATGAGATGACACATGAGATTTCTCCCAGGAGCAGAAGACTATTTAGGCAAGGCAGGATGGTACATGCCTATAACCCCAGCAGCACAGGAGGCTGACACAGGATTGCCACGAGTCCAGGCCAGCCTGGGCGACATAGTGAGTTCAAGACCAGCCTGAAGTACATAATGAGACCCGGGACTTCCCACTGGGAACATAAAAAAAGCTTAACCTGATGTTTAAAATGGACTAAACAACAGCAATGTGAGTCTACATCCAAAGTTACTCTGTCCTGGAGGGCATCTGTGGGTGTGGATGAAAGAGGTACAAACCTGAGCTTGTGCCAGCCCTGGGCAAGGGCACAGCACAGTGGCCTGGTTGGCATTAAGCTGGGACCTCAGAGGCCTGTGAGTAGGAGTCCAGGGCGCTGCAAGGGAGCCACCCTCAGGGAGCCCTGCAGCCCAGACTCGTGGGGAAATCGCTGTGACCCTAAACTGGCACTGCCCTCCGGGAGCAAACAAAAGCCTTTCTTTTGTTTTGGACAGGGTCTCACTCTGTAATTCAGGCTGGCCTTGAACTCACTATGTAGTCCAGGCTAGTTTCAAACCTGTGGCAATCCTCCTGCCTCAGCCTGCCAAGTGCTGGGATTATAGGTATGTGCCCCCATGCCCGGCAAGCCCATTTGTTTTCTACAAGTAATCTTTCAAATAATTTCTTCAAAATAGCCGCGCATGGTGGCACTGACCTGTAATTGCAGCACTCTGGAAGACTGAGGGAGGAGCACCAAGAATTTGAGCCTAGCCTGGGCAGTTTAGAGACTTAGTGAGATCTTATCTCAGAATAAAAGATAAAAAGGGCTGGGGATGGAGCTTAGTGTAAAGGCCCTGGGCTCGGCCCCCAGTACAAAGAAGGAAAGAAAAAGAAAGAAAGGAAGGAAGGAAGGAAGGAAGGTAAGAGAGAGGAAAATAAATCCTCCAAGTAATAATTTCTAGAAATTTTTCAAATGTAAGGTGCAGCACCAGACATGGACCGCAACCCTGAAGCCTTGGGAAGAGAAGCAGAGGCCCCAGAAGACCCTGGGCCACTCTACCCTGCTGCCTTGGGCCCAGCAAGTCCAACCCTGACCGTGGCCTCCCTCTGGGGCTCCAGGCTGCTGTCCCCATCTCACAGGTGTGGCTTGAGGGATACACAGCAAAGGTGGGAGCCCGCCTGCCTTCCGAGGACACCGCACACCAAGCAGTGCTGCGGGGGAGGCTGCCAAGCTCACGTGCAGCTCTGGGCCAGAGTGAGGCCCAAGATGGCCGCCCTGTTTCACTCTCTCCTGGTTGGAGGCAAGGGGTGGCTTTTATCTCCTGCACAGCCCCCCCCAGTGCTAAATGGCTCAAAGAAACTTGATGGGAGGGGTGCATGGGCTACCCCACAAGGAAGAAGCAATGCACAACAAATCAGAAGGGACAGCGCTGGACCCAAGTGGACCTGTAATCAGAGTGCCAGGTTCTGAAGACCCATGAATACCTCTTGAATTCCTGGATGGCGGCCACCACACTGTCACACAGCGGCTGCAGGTTAGGGAGGGCAACAAGCTCCTTCAGCTGGGCCTGCAGCTGGTCCACCCGCGGCTCCTCCGAGGCCAGTGTTGCCCTCGACACCTGCAGGACAAGACAACCCCCGGGGGGCGATGAGGCTCCTCCGGGGACAGTGGGGCGTGAAGGGAGGGTGTGTGACAGGGTGGAGAAACCTGTCACCAAGGGCAGGACCGGCTCCCTGGAGCTTGCAGAAGTCCTCTTTCTTCCTACGGACAGAGCCTGTGTACTACTGCTCAGGGAACTCAGGTACCAAAGACCAGGAAAACCAGGCAGGTGTGCTTGAGGCTTGGTGCGATTTGGCAGCTGCCACGGCTTGGCCGGATGCTGCTTACCGAGTAGAGCCTCCAGCGGGCCACCAGCTCATCTTCAGTCCCCACTGTCATCACCGTTGCTGAGGGCTCCAGCCCGCCCTGGGCCAGCCTCTGGAGGCCCTTCCGGAACTCTCCGAGCTCGGCCTCCAGCCACTGGATCCGCTGCTCACCGGCACCCTTGGATGAGAGCAGGTCCTGCAGCTGTGCCTTCTCCGCCTCCCAGAGGACCCGCCGCTTCTGCAGGACCTTCCGCATCTCCTCCAGGTCCCTGGTGATTTTCTCGGCACCCAAGGGAGAGGTGTTCTGTATGATGCAGGCAGACTGTGCCTCCAGCCTCCTCAAAGACTCCTCACCCTGGGAGAAATCCTTGGTGATGTCCTGCAGGAGACAGGGGACAAGCAAACACTCAGGTGCTTTCCAGAGCAGACCTGGCCAAGGGGTGGACCGTGCCTTCAGGAAATTTACTCCCTCCCAAGCCTTCTTCACACCAGTGGATTTAGTCAAGGAAGTCTGGTGGGTGCCTCTCTATCTCTAGCACTTTCTCCATTTCTTAATCTTCCTTTTTAGCCAACCGGCTTGGAACTGTCAGCAGGCAACACGGTTCTGCCTAACAGAACCTGGCAGCACCACTTGGTTTCACAGTGTTTATTTAAATGGTTATCTACTCATTATGAACGCTACTGGTTTTTACATTTATGACAATAACTTCAGTTTTTTTCCTAAATAATGTCGGTTTTTAAAAATAGTAACTCAGGTTAAAGACAAACATGAAAGAAAGAGGCCAGGTATAGTGATGTACACCTGTAGTCCCAACACTGAGGAGGCAGGAGGATCACTGTGAGTTTTGGGCCAGCCTGGGCTGCATAGGGAGTTCAAGTTTAGCCCAAACTACATATTGAGCCTCTGTCTGAACCCCCACCCCAAAAAGTACAGCTGCCTTACCACTGTAGTGAAAATTATGAGGTGGTCATTGAATTACTGAAGATAATCTACACCCTCATTCTGCAGAGAAGTTGGAGGTTTTGCCGAAGCCACATGCTGGTGACAAGGTCAAGTAGACTCAGATCTCTCAGCCACAGGCCTGAGGGCTGCCCTGGGCTCCTAACCCTGGGCCCTGCTCCTAACCCTGGGCCAATTCCGGTGGGACTGCTCTGTGGTGGGTGCTCTCCTGGGTGGTGCAGGACCTATAGCAGCAACCGTGGCTTGCACCCACTAGAACCCAGTAGCAGCAGCCATCCTCAGCTGTGACAAATAAAACCCTCTGGACGTTGCCGTGGGCCCGTGCACTAGAGCCCTGCAGTCCTGTGGCCCTGTTGTCCAAATGCCTGGCTGGCTCAGAGTTCTTTCAGGCAGCCCAGGGCCCCGGTGCTTTGCCCCAGAACCTTTGCCTGTCCCAGAGGGAGGTCTGCGTGTCCTGGATGTTTTGTCTCACCAGGGTGTGACACCGGCGGGGGCCCTGCGGAGCTTACCTGCAGCTCAGAGAGGTGGAGCTCGGCGGACAGATGGCAGCGGCTGCCCACGCAGTTCTGCACCTTCTCCACCAGTGCCCTCAGCCACAGCTGGAACTCATCCACGCCTACCTGGTACTCCTCATGCTCCTGGGCCACCCTCGCCAGCAGGTCCACCCGGTTCTGCAGAAAGGACATGGCCCACCGTGAGGGTCCCAACCTTAGGGGGGAGAAAGCCCACAGCTTGCCTGGACATGTGTGTGTATCTGTGAGTGTGTGTTGGGGTGCAGTCAACACTCAGCTCGGCCCCCGCACTGGAGACAGACCCTGGCACCACGCCGGGAGACTCTTGGCTTTAGGGACCCAAGCGTGTGGGTGGAGGCCCTGTCAACCTACAGCTGGCCTGTTCTTCCCTGCCTGGGTGCGGTGACAGAAACAATGACAACAACATGGCTGCAGGACGCCCTCTCTCTAGCTGAGTGTGGTGGTACACACCAGTGATCCCTGCCACTCAAAAGGCCGAGACTGGAAGACTACAAGTTCAGGGCCAGCTTGGGCCCTTCAGGGAGGCCATGTCTCAAAATAAAATAAAAAGGGCTGGAGATGTGGCTCGGTGGCATGGCACTTGCCCAGGGTGCACGACGCCTGGGGTTCAGTCCCTAGTACTGTGGGCAGGGAAAAAAATTTACTTTTGCAAAGGGGAGGGAAAGCCAAGAGTTGGGAGGAGGCGGGAGGCAGGAGAAGGGGAGGTGTAAGGACTTCAGACGTGTCGCCTCCACGCACCCACTCCCCATGGTGAATGTGATCCTTCTGGACTGCAAATGCGTACTATAAAAATTTTTAAAAATTTAAAATAAAGGTTGAACCATGGAAGCTTTGGAAAGAAAAGAAAAAAGAATCTGGGGTTCTCGAATGCCCCTGGTCCTCGCGAGGGGCTCTCCCTATTCCGCTCGGAGGCCTCAGAGAGGTGAAGGGACTTGCCCGAGGTCACCAGCGTGGGGTGAAACCTGGCAGGCAAGGCTGGGGATGGGCGTTTCCAGCAGGGATCCTCAGGTGTCCCCAGGGCCTCCCCGTGGAGGTGGTGACCTCACTGCAAGGGCAGAGATCCTCCCTGTTTGACCCAATCTCTGGCAGCGATAACCGGCCAGGGTCAGGACGGTGACACTGGGGGAGATGACAGCGCCCCGCTGTCAGCCCACGGTGCTCCTAGGGACTGGTCTCCAAAATGTATCGGTTCAGAGCTGTCTCCTTAAACCCCTCCACGGTTCCCCACAGCCTCTGGCTCTGGTGCGAGCCCTGAATCCTGGTGGTAAAAACCAGGTCCCCACCATGCAGCTGAGGCCCCAGGGTCCCGCTGGACCTGGGAGCCCACGGCCTGTGGCGGAACCCTGGCCTCACCTGGGAGTCACCCAACTTGTGCCCGAGTCCCTGATGCCCTAGAGTGCAGCTACCAATGAGCCCTGAGTATCGGGCTGGGGGCAATGGAGCCAACAGCACCTGGCAGCTCTGACGCACTCGGTGGGTGTCTACTGGATGCATGGCCGACTCTAGTGAACTTCACCCTATCTAAACTCACACCTTCTCCCCTGCAAACGTCCGAACTGGAGTCGGGGGCCACCGGGCTCTCATGGGGCCAGACAGCTGAGGTCCAACAGGAAGTGTCAGACTCCAAAGTCATAGCTCAAGCCCGGGGTTTGCAGGCCACCTCTTCCACGGGCTGGAGGAAAAGCTCTGCGCCGACTGCCATACACCGGCTGCTGCAGCTACTCAGCCATGCTGGCGGTAGCACATACACATCCCAGGCAGCGAGTAAAGAATGGCTGTGTGCCAGGGAGTTTGCATTACGGACCCTGAAAGTGGGATTTCGGGTTCTTTCCACACATCATGAAATAGTTGGCTTTGCATTTTTTCCCCCAACCATTTAAAAAGGTCAAAGCCATTCTTAGCTCAGCTCACAGGCTACTCCAAAGCAGGGGTGAGTGAGCAGGCTATAGTTTGCTGACCTTGGTTTCAGCCATGGAGCGAGGCCACATCCTAACCCTAACCCTAACCCTGACCTTCCATGAAGCTGAATTGGAGTGAAAAACATCCCTAGCGATTTCTATACGCTTCCCCTTCTCTGAGATGCTCATCACCAAATCTAGAAATACCGATTCATTTAAACCTTTGCAGCAACCACCATGAGCAGGAGAAAATCCCCTACCTGTTCAAACCTCATGTGCTATTTGGATCTCTGGGGACCCTTGAGAGTTCTGGGACCTTCTAAGGCTCAGGACTAAGTCCCTCAGGGCTTTAGGGATCTCTTGAGTCTGGGAGGGGATGACTAAGACTGCCAGAGCCCTGCAAGTTCCCTCTGTGGTTCCCACATCCCGAAGGACAGCGTCCGGCCCAGGAAGGGCGCATCTAGCAGCAGTCAGGAGCCGCTGCAGAGCCTGCGCTGGGCTCCCCAGGCCGCCGCTGGCAGGGATTCAGGTGTCAAGGAAGAGAACTCCGGGGAAGTGCCGGCTGGCTGCTCTGGCGTGAGCAATGAGGTGCTGTTTACCCAGAGTAAACACCAGGCTCCGTGATCCAGGGCAGGCTCGAGGAGCAGCGTGGCAGGGCAGCCAGCCAGACGGGGCCTGTGCCAGGCACAGTAATCACAGGGTGACAAATGGGACAGCACTGTGCCTCCTCGTTAGACCAAACAATTAAGCCATTTGTGCCCGCAGAGTTGTCAGGTATGTCAAAACCCATCCAATTAACAAGGGCTGAGTGGATTTATGTCCCTGCAAAGGGCGGAAGGAATAGGTCTGACTCAGACTCAGAAGCCTGGCAACTCCTGCTCCAGGGCCACTCGGGAGGTACAAGGAGGAGAGAAGGCTGCTGTTTCCAGCAGTGGATTGAAAATAAACAAGCAAGAGCCCATGGCCCCTGCCTGGCTCTCGCCCTCTGCTTTCCAGTGCTTTGGGTGGATGTGTGCTGTGGTCACCTCTAGGCTTAGCCTGGTGCCCTAAGGATCTCCCTGGCAGGGTATCACAAAGGCCACTGAGAGGGTCCCATTCCCACCAACTGCAGGTACTTTGCTAATCACATGCAGGGCATTAAAAATAGATTTTTATAGGCAAAACAGGGCCTTTTAACCACAAGAGGCTCGCTGGAAATGCCATCTCAGTGGTGAAGGTGAAGATGTCACTGCACTCCAGCCCCTGCTCTCCAGGCCTGGCCCGGTTGATCTGAGATCCAGGGCTGAGCCTCCAGGGCCCTGGCCCCTGGGCGGCATCTGGGCCACCAAGGAGCATCCCACCCAGAGCTCGCAGAGCTCCCGAGAAGCAGGAACAGCGCCTCCAATCCTCTGGAGTCCAAGAAGACAAATCCAGGGTCCATGGCTTCTGCCCACAGCTGAGAAGACCAGACGGGACTAGATCTGCATGCAGGACCCAGCACCCCATGTCCACGGGGTCGGAACTGACCCACTCCCCTGGGAACAGAGGCAACTCCCCCTCCACGCCAATGCTGTCTCAGGAGGCCTCAGAAACCCCCAAAGCAAGTGGCCCTCTTCCCAGGGCCCCAGACACCCCATTCACTGCTGCGTCCTCGCTGCCAGCCCGGCGGGAAGAAGCGCCATGGGCACAGATGCCATGACAGGGTCGGGGCCTGCGGTGGGAGGGAGGTGGACCTCCTCCTGAGGTTGCCCGGAATGCCTGGCTCTTCCTACTGGGGCCCTCGTGGGCTCGTTTGTTTTTGTTTGTTTTAATCTTTTTTTTTTTCCTGGTACCGGGAATGGAACTCAGGACCTTGCGCTTGCCAGGCAGGCACAGTGCCACTGAGCTGCATCCCCAGCCCTGTTTTAATCTTAAAAATGAGTCCAGTATCATCTTCTGTATCTACTGCACGAGAGGGTGGGGGAGTCGCATGAGGTCAGAGGCAGGAAGAGGTGCATAAAAGACCGTACTCGCTGATAAGAATCGTGATCGCTAAGGCTTCGTGCACCCTGTGCGGGGAGTCTCCCGAATGACATCTAGACTCTGCAGAGGGGCCAGACTGTGCCTCAGCCAGCACCCCAACTCCCTCCACCATCCACTTCCCCAATCCCCTGCACCAGGGGCTGTCTGAGAATCGGCAAAAGCTCCTGTTTCTGCAGAGCCACGACAAGGAGCCCTGGGGCTGGCATCTTTCCCATCCAGGCCCGAGGACAGGATGGCTGCTAGGCCTGCTCTGCCTCCTGGGTCCCGCAGCGCTGAACAAAGCCAGCTGGCTACACCTGCAAGAGCCAAACCTGACACCAGCCTGGCTCTCCATCCTGACTCCTGCAGCTGCCGTGGGAGCCTCTGGTCCCTGCCCCCAGGGACTGGGGGTGGTTGTCTTCATGCTGCAGGGGAGGGTTCTCATCCATTCAATAAATAGCTCCATGCACCTGCTGCACAGAATGCGGCTGCTGTTGCTATTTATTCTTGCTGCTACTGACACCAGAGGGCAACCTTTATATATCTTCCTTCAGTGCTGGGGATTGAACATGCTAGGCCCTCGCACATGCTAGGCAAGTGTTGCACTTCTTAGCTATCCCCCTAGTCCTTTTCATTTTAATTTGAGACAGGGTTTCACTTCTCAATGAGTTGTCCAAGTTGGCCTCAAACTCGTAGATCCTCTTGCCTCAGCCTCTGAGTAAAGGCCAGTCTTTGTATTGAGAAATCACTAGTCAGTTTTCAAAGTCCTTGTTCGTAACTCATTTGCCCTCCAACCTGGTCATGGAAGGGTCCCCAAGGTCACACAGCTAGGGACAGCTGAGCCTCCTTCCCCAAGCTCTCAGGGGCAGTCTTATTCCTAAAGGTGTCTCCATCTCTGTTTACAACACAACCTATTTCCCTGTGGATACAGCCAAGTGGATAACTGCAGCTTTGGAAGACAGACCAGGCACCCAGGATGGCAGAGCCACACAACCCGGGGAAGGGGCAGCCCCAGGGGCAGAAGCAGACAGGGCAGAAACTGGCCAGTTAACAGCACACTGTGCCTATGTCCCGGGACGGGACGCTCAGGTTGGGGTGGGGCAGACTTGGGCCCAGGGGAGCAGCAGCCACTGCAGGAAGGCAGAAGCCCTCGAGGGGTGGCCCCTACAATCCCAGCCAAGGGTGACTTGGGAAAATGCAGGTCTATAGCCACAGTTTGGGAAGAATGCTGTGTGTTCCAGTTTGGGCTCAAAAACAAACACCAGTCACCTTTCAGCATGCAGAACCAGGGGCCGGTCATATTGTTTTGGCTTTGTGCTCAGGAGTAGAGAATCCACCCAATTCACAAACTCCCAAGCCAGTGCATGGACAGAGAAATAGGAGTCACACAGGGAAATTCCCTGAGACCATGGAGCAGCAAGCCCTGCTGCCCTAACGTCGAGTTTCAGCCAGGTGCGGTAGGCACATGGGTAACACCAGCTACCCTGGAGGCAGAGGCAGGAGGATCACAGGATCCAGATTAGCCTGGGAAACTTCATGAGACCTTATCTTAAAATAAAAGATTTAAAAGCTCAGTGTTGCAAGCACAAGGTCCCGAGTTCGATCCCCTGTGCCAAAAACAAAGAAACAAACAAAAAGCTCAGTGTGGAGGCCCTGGGTTACATCTCCAGTACCACCAAAAAAGAAAAAGAGACCAACTCGGGGTAAGGCATCTCTAGATTGGGTCCCCAGTACAGCAAAATTAAAAAGGGTGTGTTCAGCCACGGGTGTGCAGATAAAGTCCTGCTTGGGATGAGCCCACAGCTCCAACTTCCAAAGCCCTGAGGAGATAGTGTACCATGCCAAGGGTGTAATGACAGTAGCATCAGAGCCAGGTGTGGTGGCACACACCTGTAATCCTAGCACTCAGGAGGCTGAGGCAGGAGGATCACCACAAGTTCAAGGCCAGCCTGGGCTACGTAGTGAGACCCTGTCTCCCTCCCCAAAGATCACTGGATCCTGGAGCTTCAGCTGCCTGAACAACCTGACAGAGACTATAGAATATGTATGCTTGGAGGGATGGAAAACATAACCCACATCTGGGAAGAATGCAAACTTTCAGGCAAAAGGATATAATTTTTTTTAAAAGTGGATATGATAAAAAGCCAAATAGAATTTCTAAAGAAATAATAATTGCACTTAACTCAAGGATGTGTTTCAAAATCAAGGCAAGGATGAGGTGAGGGAAAGCAGGCAGAGGGCAGCCAGAGGGATTGGGGCAAGGGCAAGAGGGAAGGAGGAGCACAGGGTGAAGGGGCCGAAGGAGAAGGGCCAAGAATGAGGAGGAAGAAGGGCAGGGAGGAAGGTGGGAGGGAGACAGTGAGAGTGACAGGAGGGGGCTGCTTGGCGAAAGTGGACATCACAGTACATCAGTCAGTCCGTCAATGGGAGTGTGTGTTAAGCATCCATGTGCTAAGCCCTGCACGACCCTGGTTTATAGATGATGGGTGGATGTGGAAGGACAGGAGGATGGCTAAGTAGAAGGCTGGTGGACAGGTTGTTAGGTGGTGGATGGGTGACCAAGTGGTTAAACACGTGGGTCATGGGTGGGTGCAGGAGTAGACAGCAGAGAGATGGATGGGTGAACAGGTAAGAGAAGAGCCGGGTGGGGTGATGGGTTGGCGAATGAGTAGACAAATGGATGGGTGGGTGATTGGCTAGATTGGTGGAGAGGTAGATGGATGAATGGGTAAACAGATGGGTAGGGGATGGGTAGATAGGTAGGTGGTTGGACAGTAAGTGGACAGGTAGTCAATAGGAGGTTTGCTGGTACAGTGGGGATGGGGAATGAGGAGGCAGATAGGTGGCAGGGAGCGGGGGTGGGTGGATCTATGGGTGATGAATGGATGGGTAGTGGATGGATGATGGGTAGGTGGATGGATGGATAGATGGATGGATGGATGATGGGTGGGCGGGCAGTGAAAGGGTGAGGAGATGGATTGGTGGATAAGAAGATAGCATAGATACATGGATGAGTGAGTGCAGAGAAGGTCCCAGCCTCACCTGGGCTTTGGCCTTCACTGTGTCGAACTCAGTCTTCATCCTCCTCTGTGCCTCTTCATCCACGCTGGGGTCCCCGATCCTATTGAACAGGGAGGCCGCCTCCTCCAGCAGCCTGTCCAAGAGCTCAGCCTGGTTCTCCACATTGTGCAGCAGCACCTGGGCATCGCTCAGCTGCCACTGCTTCTCCTTCAGGCCCAGCTGCAGCTCGGCCGGGGGCTCCAGCATGACCACCATCTTCTGAAACCAGCAGTAGAACTCGTCCCGGGCCAGCAGGTACTCCCTCCAGTGCAGCCAGACCCACTCGATGCGGCTGTGGGCAGAGACCATCAGGGAACGGCCACCTGGCTCCCGGGCAGGGAGGCCTCGAGCTGCCTCTTCCCCATTCTGGGGGCTGTGGGATGGGGGCAGCTGGATGATGTTCTAGGTTCCAGCCCTCACTGTGTACTACAGGACAGGGCCCTCCTGTCCTGCACTCAGGCTTCCACGGGAAGCTGACCTACCTGAGACTCATCCACTGAGGTATGCAGCCTAGGAAGCCCTTAGTCACCAGCATCCCAAATTCTGGCCCTGAACTCCCACTATCTATGCCCAGGTCCCTCCGTCACCTCTGGCATCGAGACTCTGCACACAGTGGCCCCAGGCCCTTACCACCTGCTGCCCATTAGCTGTAAGGAGAATCGTGCCTATCAGTTTGCAGGGCAGAACTGTGTTCGTGGGCTTGTTAGTTGCCACCTGGTGGGTGGGGTCGGTGGGGGTACTGGGAACCCCTGTGGGTTCCAGGGGCACCACGATTTCTGTGTGCCATGGCTCACCACCCACCTGTTTCCCCATCTATAAAACGTGGTGATGGCGCTTTCTCCAGCCAATACCAAGCCATCTTGTTTGGAATTCCAAGGGCAAGGGTTTGGGAAACAGGAAGCCTTGGGGAAAGCTGTTTTTGCCTCCAGGGGCCTGTGTGCTAAGCACTCTTGCTCTTGACTCTGAGACTCTCTTCCTTCCCCCTAGCTGCCTTCAGGGAGCACCCCTTTGCCCCCATTGGGCACAGGAAGAGTGAGGCTTACTGAGGTCAAGTAACTGTCCTCAAGCCACACAGGAAGTAACCAACAGGGCAAGAATCAACCGGATCTCTGAGTCTCTGCCTCTCTCCCACAGCCCCTTCTCGGAACCTGGAACAGGCCGAGAATCTGGCTAAAGTGCTGAGCTGTTCTGCCACTCTGCAGGAGAGGCACATGCGGGCAGTCAGCTGACAACCAGCCCGGGGTCCCTGGGTCTGCCGTCATCATAGAGCTCAATCGTAATTAGGAGGAGGAAGGCAGGGTTGGCTCGAATCCCAGAGGACACAGTTCCTAGGAGACGTGGACTGCAGGCCTTCTGCAGGCAGAGGTCCCAGGCCAGCATGGTGGTGGACAGACCCGGCTTGGTAAGTCCCCTGACAGGGCCACCTACCTGTGACAGTGAGTCATGTAGGTGACCGTCTCCTCCCACTGGTCCTTGAGTTCCCTTAGCCGGGCCAGGATCTCAGGCCGCTGGTCCTCCAGGCAGCATGCCAGGAGGGTCTCTGCTGCTTGAAGCACCAGGTCTACCTTCAGCTGCCCCTCGGGCTCCAGCCGGCAGATCTTCTGTTGGCAACATGAGTAGGAGGCCGGGGTCAGGCCCACGCAAACAGGGCATGGCAGAGATGCCACCTCTCTGCAGGTCCCGGCGGCCAGCCAAGATCTTTGCTTCCCGGAGGCCTGGCTTCCACAGCTGCTCCCGCCAGCGGCCCACCGTGGTGAGGGTTCTCTGGCAGACCCACTCCTGGGAGACACAGGTCCCAACGAATGACTAATTCAAGGACACCCTGGGCCTTGCCGGACTCCCATCGGATCCCATGGGTGCCTGCAGGGCTCCCATCAGCACCCGCTTCCTCCGGGGGGCCCTTCTGCCCTCTCTGGCCCGGCCTCTCCTGGGTGTTCCCCTAGCAAACACCTGTGTTTTTTTATCTCCTCTCAGCCTCAGCTTCCTGGAGGACCAAGACCAACTCCAGGTCCAACAAACAGCAGGTCTCTGACCTCAGCTCTGGTCACTGTCACTGTTACTGCGGCAGCGCCAGCATACGGCAGCTAACGCCTGGTCTCCACGGTCAGGTATGAGTGGGCTTCAGCTCCCGATCCTGGGTGACTTTTGTCGCCAGACCTAAATGCTCAAGTTGTATGAAACGGAGGAAGGGAGGTTTCGTTGCAGTCAGGACAGCCACTGCCCACTGCGCGGCCATCGGTGACTTCGCCGTCCTCCTCTGCTGCTGTCCTGGCTTTGTCTCTCCTTCCTCCACTTGATATGCTGCCCCCCGACAGCTCTGTGGCCCCTAACAGCTCACTTAACTGCTGTGGGGCTCCCTTTCTCATCCCGAGACCATGACAGTGATCCCGCTATGTTGGCCCCATGCATTCATTTCCAAGATCATATTGATTAAAACGGATGCAGACTTTGGAGACTGCTGAGCAATGATGATCTGTGGCTGGGCAGTGGCCACAGCCTTTGCCACTGTGTGTGCTAAAGGTTACTGTGGACAAGGACGGTATGGCTGACAGCGAGGGCGACCTCACGACCTGCACTAGCAAGGTTGCAGAAATCTCGGGAAGAAATACACAGAGACACAGAATTCAGATAAAATAATAAAATTTCTTCTCATGAGCAGGCAGAAATGCCAGAAACCAGTCTGGTCAGTATCCGCGCACCCTTTGTTCAGCGTTTCCCTTTTTATATCCTTTTTAGCCATCATCTCATCCCTAGTGGTCTTTGATGTGTAAATACAATTCCAATTCCTATTTACAAGTCACAGACACAAGATAGGCACATATACATTATAAATTCACCCTGGCATGGTGACTTTGTTAGCTTAATGAAGTTACCAGTTAGTCAGATAATGCTCACCTTAAACAAGGAGTTATAGGAAAAGCAAATCTTAAAAGAACACATTACTTATTTTGCTTCTACAACTACCTTAATATTCAGTCTATTAAGTTATTCAAAACTTTTCTGTATCAGCAAGGATCAGAACTACGAGCTCTTTCCTGTCTGTGTGCACAGGGTGTGGGGACACGGACAGAGAGGAGACAGCCCAGGAAGGGAAAGAGGTCTGGATGGCTACGCGGCAGATGCAGCAGGGTCCCTGAGGGACCCCATGTCCCTCTCCGAAATGAATGGTGGTGTGGAAGACAAAAGTGCCACAGTGGCCAATGTAGAATAAGATGCCAGGGCCGCTGCAGAATACTTTGGGCCTGGCACCACCGCCCACCTGCACCAGACATGACAGAGAGCAGGGCCCTGTGGTGTGGATGCTGAATCTCATGCCGTCCAGGGCGAGATCTAATACGATTAAGAATAAAACTTCGCGATGATGCACACCTGTGATGCCACCTACTTGGGGTAGCTGAGCCAAACAGAGAGGTCACAAGTTCAAACCCAGCCTGAGCAACTTAGTGAGACCCTGTCTCAAAAATATACAAAGAAGCCAGGAGTGGTGGTACACATCTGTAACCCCAGCATTCAGGAGGCTGAGGCAGGAGGATCACTGAGAGTTCAAGGCCAGCCTGAATTATATAGTAAGACCCTGTCCCATTTAGATAGGTAGGTAGGTAGATAGACAGACAGACAGACAGACAGATAGACAGGGAGATAGTAAATAAGTTAAGGCCTGGGGTTGTAGCTTAGTGGTGGAGCACTTACCTAGCACACTCAAAGCCCTGGGTTCAATCCCCAGTAATGCAAAATTAATAACTGTAACAGTAATAATTAAGGGGATGACGTATCTGATTCAGACTTGTGAAGATTTCATTCTCCTCTCCTGCTAGCAAGCTGGGCACAATAGTCATTCCAGATGTAATAACCAGAGTGCTGGGGACCCACATAAACCATCAGCTTTGCAGTCCCCACAGCTGCCAGGGAGGCTCCTGCACCCGGCTCCCAGCTAAGCTCAGAGGCACGTGGCTGGAACAGTCACACGAGCCAGGAGCGCAGGGCAGAAGTGAAACTCAACCTCTGGCTGGAAGCCCCAGTACAGTGCCTGCCCCAAAGCCTGGGTCCACTGTGTGATCCCTTACCCCTGGGCCCTGCACCTTTGCCCTCCTGACTCCTCGTAAGGGAGGCCCTGGCTGGACTTGAGGGAACAGGAGAGGCCCCAACAGCCTCTCCCCTGTTCAAGCGAGTGAGTTTGAAGCTTCCCAGCAAAGGGAGAGGAGTTGGCCAGAGGGGCCAGGCAGAACTCCAAGCCCAGCCTGAGCGGAAGCAGAGAACCTGTCCCGAAATCTCAACAGTGGGATGCCTGCTGTATGCCTGGGACCTGTGAGGCCGGCCAGGTCTTGAGAAGCCACTGCACCCTTCTGGGCTGCCCAGGGTCCAGCGCCAGCAAGGACAAAGCCCAGGATGCCCAGCCGCCTGGGAAGCAGTGTGCGTAGGGGCCTTGTAAGTTATCCTGGTTTGAAGCAGCCAATGAGGCACCCAGAAAAGCCAGAGAAATGGGGTTAATTGGGGTTCCTCCTCGACCCAGCCAAGACTAGGGGCCGCCAGCAAGCACTGGGCTGGACACTGGGTCCAGCATGAACAAGATGGAGCAGGTGTTTCCGGGCTGGGCAGAGGAAGGGCTACACACGAGAGCCAAAAGAGTGGACAAAGGAGCCTCCCAGGAGCTCAAGGAGGGACCTGTGAAATCCAGGAGGGCTCCACAGGGGAGGTGGCATCAACCCCAAGCCTTAGAGATGGTGCAGAACATCGGGGAGGAGGCAGGCACAGGCAGAGGAGCAAGACGTATTTAGGGAGAGGTCACTTGGCTTCCGGAAGCCAGGCCCCAGGACATCTGGACAGCCCTGACCAGAAGGGAGCCTGGAAGCTGGTAAGGAAGCGGAGGCCGGGACTCGAGGGGAGCCCTGGGAAGGCTGGGACCAAGACATGAGCTGGGAGAGTAAGTAGCTGGAGGCCCCACTGCCGGGGACCGGGGCAGCAGGCGGCCTGTCCCCAGCATCTGAAGCAGCAAGCGCCTGCCTGGGCAGTGGCCGGGGCAAGCAGGCCAGGAAGTTCTCCCCTCGGGTCTGCTTCCCTCCTTCCAGGCAGCAGCGGTCACATCCCCGGAGCAATGACAGCTCCTGGGGCCAGGGAAGCCTCCCGGAGGAGCCGCAGCCATGACACAGCTCCGGCGCACTCGGCCAGTGAGAGTCCAGCGCTCAGCCTCCATGAACCTGCCTCCCAGGCACGATGCCCTCTCCGGGTGACCCCCTTTCTCCTCATGCTAGGGCCTGAAGCCAGGGCTGTGCACTGCGCTAAATCCCCAGGCTCCCTGCCCTGTCAAAGCAAGAAAGAGCAAGGCGCGTGCTTCTTCGAGTTGATGCTCAAACATCAAGGCACACAGAACTTCCCCCAGGGAGAAGGTGCAGCCGGGCACCAGCTTGCAGGTCACTGCCTGGGACTCCCTCTGTGCCTGATCCACAAATAGCTCTGCCTGAGGACCATCCTAGCGCTTGCTTAAGCCAGGCTCACCACCAGGAGGAAGTGACCTGTCACAGCAGGATTTCTGAGTAGCTGCCACTCCAGGGGAGTGCAAATCAGCGGCTTCACTCACAGACAGGAGAACTGGGGCCCAGAGAGGGACAGGGGCTCGGAGGAGGTAACACAGCACTCTGGCATCAGCAAGGAAATTCTAATCCAAGTCTCTGCCTCTTGGTTCATTGTGCTTTGTCCTTAATCTCTGGCACCCTCAGGCAGGGTCAACACAATGCAAGGCTGGGCACTGGGCACCAGTATTTCCTGTCAGTTTGGCACCACAGGCATTGAGCCTCGAAGCTCAAGGTCAAACCCTGGGTCTGGAGGAAATCAGAGGTCACTCCTGTGGCCTGGCAGAGCCCCTCCTCACTGCCCTGCAGGAAGCCCCAGGCCACCCAGAGCCACAGGGGCCCAGCCACATGGGCAGGAGATGGGAGGCAGGCTGGGGCCAGCAGGGCTGGGGACCTCCTGGCTCCACAGGTGGCCCTGCTGGAAGGAGAGGGACTGAGGATGGGCTCTGGTCCCTGACTGCAGAAGCGCGGGCCAGAGAGCAGCAGCAGCAGCACATGCTTGTCTCAACCCTTGACCCACCCAGGCCAAAAGTGCACCTGATTTTTTTTCTCTTTTTTGAGACAGAGTCTCCTTATGTAATCCAGGCTGGCCTCAAATTCATGATGACCCTCTTGCCTCAGCCTCCTGAGTGTTGGGATTACAGGTGTGCACCAGCACACCCAGCCAGCATCTTCATTTGATCAAAGCCCCCAGGACACCTGGGCACAGGTCAGGGTCTGCAACACACAGCTTATCCACCCTGCCACGGAACAGGCAGGAAACCAAGGTAGAGGAGGACGGACAGGCTTGGTCAAGGTAGGGCCTCTGCATACCTCAGTCTCCTGCAGTCTGGCCTCCAGGGCCGCCAGGGGCCCCTGGGTGTTGTCATTGACCTGCAGCTGCTCCTGCACCGCCTGCATCCATGCTCGGGTCTCCTGCACGCTCCTGTCGAAGCCCTCTCGGGGCTGCTGGGTCATGGCACCTGCAGGGGCTGGGGAAGGACAGCAGGGTCAGGCAGAGGCAGGTCCCTGACAGCTTTCCCAGCATGGCGAGCCACGCAGCAGGGACAGACTGGGAGATCCTCGTCCTCCTCCTCCTTCGCCCCCCGCCTCCCGCTCCCCTCTACTCCTACCCGGGCTCAGCCCACTCTGCTTTGCCTCTAAGGGGCTCTCAGGGCACCCTGGCTGGGGTGTCCGAGGCCCAAACAAACCAGGAAGTGGGGACCAAGGAGGCCTCAACCTAAGGAACTCAGTTCGTGGTATTGGCCAAGTGCATGCCGCCCCCAGCCTCACCCAAATAGCTTGCTCTGGTGTGCTGACCCTTCTTGCCGCCCGCTTGGGCCCCACCTCCCTCCGCTCCTCAGCACTCCAGGCTGCTGCAGTCACAGACTCAGGGGCTCTCGATGAAGCCCATGCACACCTCCTGCTTCTGGTGACACCTGCCGGCTGGCACAGGCCACCTGCCCACACCAGCCCCCTCTGCGGACGGCCAGGCTTCGCCTTCCCCGGGGCTGTGGAGGCCAAGGCCCAGAGTTCTCGTGTGATTTTTTAAAGTCCCATTAGGCCAGGGCACAAGTCTTCCACATCTGTTCCTTTTCTGCCCACAGTAACTATAACCTGCTTTGGATTAAAGTTATTTATATCTGCATTTTACATGAAGAGACCGCGTCTGGCTAATCCACCAGCCTCCCCGGATGCCTCGCCCCTCACTGCCGGAGGAGGAAGAGCTCTGCACGGGTATAAAGTCAACACACAGAAGAAACTCCCCTTGTCTTGTGCAAGAGGGCAAAGCAAGGCTGTCACACCCTATACCTCCATTAACAGAAGGTCCCTTGGGCAAGTTAGGGTACACTCACACTAGAGCACGATGCTGCCAACAAAACACAAACGTACAATGAACTTGCCACGAAGACCACTGAGGATAGAATAACACCAAAAGATGAGGCAAAATTACATGTCATACACTTGGTAGTCACAAGTCTACACCTACTAAAAGCAAAACCAAGGCCGGGGATTTAGCTCACTGGCACCACGCCTGCCTCGAAAGCACAAGGTCCTGAATTTGATCCCCGGTACCAAAATATAATAATAAATAAATAAAAGCAAAACGAAACATCAATAATGACTAAAACTCTGCCTATGGACAAAATTGGGAAATGTTGCCATTAGAAGGCCCAGTTACACAGTGAAAGCCAGGGACACCAGGCACTGGCCCAGCCACCCCAGGCCTGGCTCTTCCCAAGGGCCCTGCAGCCTCTCTCCCTGGCATGGGGGACACGAAGGCCTTAGGGGGCACCTAATTAAGGACGATTGTCTGCGACTGGCGGGAGAAGTGTTCTCTCATTTTCTTTTCCTCTATTGAATTTTCCAGAAAGCATGATCATTACTTCCCAGGGAGGAAATAAAACCTTTTCTGAGAGCTGGCTAGCTTGCTAGTTGGCCCTTTCTTCTCCCGAGTGGGTTGGCTGCTCAACAAGCGTTGGCTGGGAATCTGGACCCCGCCCTGGGCTGCACTGGGCTTGGATCCTTCAAAGCAGATCTGGAGAAGACAAAGGGAGCCAGGGCCCGAGAGGGCGTGGCCGGCTGGGCTGAGTGGGCTGGAGCCGACCCGGGCCTTGGAAGGCAGCTGCCTCACCTTCTATTTCTCTTTCAGAGATGTTTGGGTTTTTCTTTTTTTTTTTTTTGGTACGGGGGATTGAACTAGGGTCCCTGTGCTAGCGAGGCAGGCGGCGGAACCACTGGGCTAAATCCTCGGCCCTTGTTTGGGTTTTTCTGACAACTTAATATGTGCCTACAGCCACTCCCTGCCTCTGAAGCATCGTATGTGTGGGCGTTCAGATTGGCTCACTGGGACTCCTAACTGCTCTCTAGTGTGTGTCCTTGCGGGCTTCCCAAAGTCCTGCTTTTATTCTTAAAAAGCAAGGACGGGAGGGACAGAAAGGCACCTGTGGGTTCAGACAGCAGATGGGGGAGCGGCTCCATGATCCAAGGCTCTGAGCCTGTGGATGGGCCCCTTGTTGGCAATGCCCACAACTGGCAGGGCTGGGGCCTGGTGACCAGAGGGTATGGCAGTCAGAGCGGTGCTCCAGCGGGTGGGGGTGGGGGTGGGCTCAGCTGGGCTTCAGACCGAGCTACCACTGGGCGCCTGAGGTTGAGCAGGGCTCAGGAGGCCTGGGGTTCATGGCCAGTTCTGCCCACCCAGCGCCACACATGGGACTGTAACACCGCTCTGCACACACTTGAAGCTGCTCTCAGGACAGCTGGGTTGATGGTCAACAACTGTGATGCAACCTAACAATATGACAGTGCTGCAGGGGCTTCAAATACCGGAGGGCTCTGCCTTGCTGCGCTTTCTGAGGAGCTGAAGGAAACACCGTCGGTCGGTTAGCACTGAGTAGTGAGAAGGACCTGTTGGTTTCCTACCCAAGTTCACAGGCTCCCGACTTCTCTCTAGGCTCCATCAGTGCCCCAGGTGGGAGCTCTGCTCTGAGCCTTCTAACCCCAAGGAGAGGGGACTCTGACCCCAAACCAAGTCTAAAAATTTGACAGATTAATCCTGGAGGCTGAGGCAAGAGGACTGCAAGTATGAGTTGCCTGGGGGACTTTGCAACTTAGTAAGAACTTGTCTCAAAAAATTAAAAGGGGCTGGGGGTGTAGCTCAGTGCAAAGGCTCTGGGTTCAATCTCTAGTACCACAAGAAAGGAAAGAAAGAAAAAAGGAAAGAAGGAAAAAGAAAGAAAGAGGGAAATTGATAGATTAAAAAGCAAACAAACAAGGCATGATGGCTATGGTAGCTCATACCTATAATCCTAGTGCTCAGGAGGCTGAGGCAGGAGAATTTCCACAAGTTTGAGGCCAGCCTGAACTACATAGTGAGACCCTGTCTCAAAAAAAAAGATAAAGAAGATATTCACTCTGAGCAAGTGCCTTTGCCCCACTGGCCTCAGTTTCCTCATCTGTGCACGACAAAGTGGTCAACAGTGTATGGTTTTGAACCGGTTTATCCCTGAGGAAACTCATGTTCAAATCTGATTCCAAATCTGTCTTAGTTACTTTCTTGTCACTGAGACCCAATACCTTAACCTACAAGTGAAAGGAGAAGAGGTTTATTTTGGCTCATAGTTTGTAGAGGTTTCAGTCCATAGTTGGCTGGCTCCAAGGGAGGGGGCCATGGCAGAGGGGCACAGCAGTGGAAAACGAGATTATGGCAGGGCAGGAAGCAGAAAGAGATCAAGGGAAGAGGAGGGACATAGGCCCTTCCAGGCTGTGCCCCAGTGACCACCTCCTCCCACCAGGCTTCACCTCCCAGCATCACACCCAGCTTCGAGCCCATCAGTGATGAGTATCACACGCCCATATCCAGCCACTTCCCAAAAGTCCCACCTATGAGTGCATGAGGCTTTGGGAGGACAGCGGGATAAAAACTACAACATTCTAGCCCAGGTCCCCCAGGACTCATGCGCACCTCTTATGCAAAAGGCATCTAGTCCGTCTCTAAGAGTTGCCTGAGTCCTAACAGTGTCAGCACTGCTGAAAAGCCCAAGCCCAAAGTCTCTGAAATTTCAAGCAAATTCTTAGCTGCAAGCCCCTGTACAAATGGAAAGTTAAACACTTCTAACATACAATAGCACAAGACAAACATTCCCATTGCAAAAGGTAGAAACAGGATAGAAAGGAATGGGGCCAAAACAAGACCGAAACCCAGCAGGGCAAAGAGTAGATCCTGTAGCTCCATGGCCAGCACCCCGGACAATCGGCGGCAAGATTTAAACTCCAAAGGGCTTCCTGAGGTGCTCTACTCCCAAGACACTGCCAATGGCTGTAGCCCTCCTGGCTTCTCTCTTGGGCTGGCTTTTCTCACTTCTTGCAGCTTTCCTCAGACAACCCACCTTCCTGGCTTCTCCAACCTTCTGGGGTCTCCACGGCACTTTCAGCTTCACACTCACAGCTTCACCCACTGCCCTCTCAGAGACACACTGCCTGGCCTCCCAGGCCTCCTTCTGAAATCTGGGTGGAAGCCTTCCTGACCCTACAACTCTTGCATTCTGCATGCCTGTAAAACTAGCACCACGTGGATGACACCAAGGTCTGCTGCCAGCTGCAGCGGTAGCTGAGGCCTTTTGCATTTTTCATCTTTTTAATGCTAATCTTTCCAGCAACCAAGGTCTCTGCTCCATCTTTGCAGGTCCCAACTTTACTGGAGCTTCCTTTCTGGCCAAACTCAAAACTTTTAAAATCATTCTGCTGGGCCATTTGCTCTTGATTCTCAACACAGAGCTGACTAAACATCCCAACTGTATCCATGCTACCACCTCAACAATGGACTGCCTTGAAATTTCTTCTGCCAGATTAATTCGTCTACCACCCTTAATGCCAGTCTCCTGCAATGTCTCTGGACATGGGCAAAATGCAGACCAATTTTCTACCAGAGCATAACAAATATGGCCTGGAGTCCGACTGCCAATAGAATCCTTCCCAACAGACACCGCCTGAGCCTGGTGTTTACCAGCTACATTTCTATCAGCATTCTGGTCTTCTGAGCTCCGACCCAAATCTCCATTAAGCGTGTCTCACAGTATGCTAGGGATGCTTCCCCAGTAGGCAACCCTAAATCTTTCCAAACTCTTCCCAGAAGCCAGTGCCAGAGACTTCTGAACCAGGCAGCACCACAGCAAGGACCCCACTGCTCTCAGGACCTAAATCTGTCTTAGTTACTTTCTCATCACTGAGACCCAATACCTGACACCCACAACTCTTAAAGGAGGAGAGGCTGATTTTGGCTTACAGGTTGTAGAGGATTCAGTCCATAGTTGGCTGTTCCAAGACAGAGCAGCATGGCAGAGAGAGATCATGGCAGACAGGCAGGAAATGGAGACGGATCAAGGGAGGAGGAGGGGTGTATGTATATATATATATATATATATATATATATATATATATATATATATATATATATATATATATAGGGATAAATGCCCACAGTGACCCCTCTCTTCCCTCCAGGCTTCACCTCCAAACATCACACCCAGCCATAAGCCCATCTGTGGACTAATCCAGCGATGAGTATCACACACCCATCATCCAGTTGATGCCGTGTGTTGGGTCTGAGCGATGGATTCTAGGTTCTTGTGTATGGCCAGAAAAGAACTGCAAGTGTACCCTTAATGGTAAAAGAAAAAGCAGTTACATTTATTGAAGATAACCTGAAGGTGTGCTCAGGGAGACCTGTGCCAACAGAGAAAAAAGTGGGGACGGCAGGGGAAGTGGCAAAGGTGAAGATAAAGCAGGCTTTTGCATTTTAAAAGATGTACACCTCAGCCCGGATGCCTCTGCGGGCCTCCTGCGGGCCTCCTGCAGGCTGGGCTGGTTGCCGTGCCCAGGCGGTGAGGAAGGACAGCCCTACACCTGCTGCCCTCAGCTCCTCGAGTTAGAACTACCTCAGCCCAGCCCGTGCCATGCTCTCCACCCAGCCACCAGGACCGAGAGCCAAAATGAACCTCTGTTCTTCACAAGCCTCCCAGGCTGGGGTTCTCTGTCACAGCAGTGAGTGGACTGAGCCAGGCTCTCTGAGGACTGCGGGGGGCAAGCTGAGAGGGCCTGTGTTCTCGAGGTTCAGGTCAAGCCTGGTCCTGGCCTCGGTCCTCAGACTGCCTCGAGCTGGTTGGGCCTGGCTCCCGCTGTGCCTGTGGGAGCCTCCCCATCAGCATCCTCGGCATCCAAGGCTGGCAGTCCTGGTCACTCCCTGAGCCACATCCAAGGGGGTGGTCTGAGAACTTACATAGCAGCCCACACATTCTATGTAAAGGGTGAGGAAAAAAAATACTTTTAGCTTCGGTGCATTTGCATTCATTCATTCACTCATTCATTCAAGACAGGGTCCTGCTATGTAGTCCAGGCTAGCTTTGAACTCATCGGGATCCTCTGGCGTTGGTCTCCTGAGTACTGGGATTCCAAGAGTATGCCACCAGGCCCGGCAATTTTCATCTTTAGATTGGTGAAATGGAGGCAGCATGTAAAAAGCAATGATCGTCACAGTAACTTCATGTCTGTTTTATGACGAGCTAGAAGAAAGGAGCTCCCACTCCCCAGCAATAGAAGGGACAAGCAAGGGGAAATGTCAGTTACCCTGAGTTGATCAGCACACTTCGTATACAATGTTGAAATAGTGACCTGTACCCCATAAATATGTACAATTATTTCCTCTTAATTAAAAAATAAAATTGAATAAAGAAAACTTTTGACAAATCTGGTGGATTCCAAAAATATTTTAAGTAAACTGGTTACATATATTCTGTGATTTTTAAAAGTCATGTAAAATATTTTTCCGCTAGTTTTTCCCCGAGTTCTGGTTTTGTTTTTCTTTTATGAGACAAGGTCTGAAAAGTTGCCCAGGCTCTCTGTGACTTGCGTCTTCCTACCTCTACCCCCGGTAGCTCCCCTCTGCTTTTCCTCTAACTTTGACTTTCTTTTTTTTTTTTTTCATTCTTGAGAATTAACTTTAGGTGCCCTTTAAATAGTTTTCTAAGAGGTTATTCAAGACATTCACGTAGATTTCAGTTCTTGAAATAGCAATTCAATATCTTCTTATTGTGTCCTTTAGTTCTACTTCAGTAAGTTTTGCAATACAAAGCTGGGGCTGCAGCTCCAGAACCCTGGCCTAGCATGTGTGAGACTCTGGCTTCTGTCCCCAGCACTGCAAGAAGAAAACAATTACAATATAAATAAAATATGAATGTCATGTAGTAAATTCACATTCATGTGGGAATGTTTGTTGTCCCCCCCCCCCCACTGGGGATGGAACCCAGGGCCTCGGGGGGCAAACACACCCTATCACTAACCTTCATCCCATTCTCCCCCTGTCCCTTTTTTCTCTTTTTAAATTTTGAGACAGGGTGTCGCTTAAATTTCCCAGGATGGCCTTGAACTTGTGATCCTCCTGCCTCAGCCTTCCATGTAGCCACCATTACAGGCGTACACCGCTAAAACCCAGCTTGTTTTATGGTATGTTTTTATATTTAGCATGATAATCACCTAGAATTAACTTTGTTTACCTAATAAAGAAATAAGATAACTCCCCCCAAAAGGACTATGTATTTTCTAAGCATTTACAAACATGATGGCAAGAAAAAGTGTGGAAAACAAAGCTTCGTTCCTTTCCAGGCCCCTGAGTGGCCTCCCTGGGGCTGGTTGTGTCCCTTGCCGTCCCCTGAGCAATGAGAAGAGGCGGCCCTCTGATTCAGGCAGGCCTGGCCTGGCGAAGGACAGAGGAGCGCAGCCACGAGTTTCAGTGCAGTTCGGTTATCACAGGCGGCGGTGGGCAGAAGAGAGCAGCTGAGCTTTTCCTGGTGGTAGGAAATGGGTTGGGGCAGAGGACGGAGCTGCTGAGGGGCAGTGCACAGGCTGAGAACGGAATCTGGGTCAAAAGCCACCAGCTGGGACCCTGCTATAGTGGCAGCTGCCTGTAGTCCCAGCCCTTCTGGGAAGCTGAGGCAAGAAAACCACAAATTCCAGTCCCACCTGGAGGAGCTGGTGGGTTGGTGTGATCCTGTCTTGAAGTAAATAATAAAAAGGGCTGGGGATGTAGCTCAGAGCGAAGGCCCTGGGTTCACCCTCCAGTACCAAAAAACAAAACAAAAAACACCGGCTGGGGTGACTGAGGAATCGGGGGAGGTGGGCAAGGCCAGTGGGCACAGATGGGGCAGTGCCCAGGGGTGCAGAGAGGCTGTGCTGGACTGTCAGGAAGCTCCCAGAGTTCCATCTGCAGCCTGACCACTGTGGTCAGCAGTGTGGGGAAAGCTTGGCATGAACCCAGGAAGCTGAGATGCCGCAGAGGAGTGTGCGGCTGAAGACTCGAAAGACCCGGGAGGGAAAGAAGCCCTCACAGGCTAGGTGCCAGCCTGAGTGTGGCCCACTGAGCCCCCCAGCATCCGGGCTGGAGGCGGTGGGGCGGGACCAGGTTTCCTCCCCATCGAGCTCCTTGCCAGAGCCCCCTTCCCACCACGGGGACAGCAGTGGTGTCTTCCTCTCAGGGTACTGGGAGCCGATGGGGCAGACAGGGAAAACAGCTGCGTGGTGACAGGTGCCCAGCGGACAAGAGCCGCCCCCAGCAAGAACCCCGAGATCACAGCAGCCACCCCCGGCCGGGCCGGCCGGCTCAGCACCGAAGTCTGAAGCTTGTTCTGTTGGATTCCAAAGCCAGACGCACGACCTCCAGGTGAGGTCCACCCCTCGCCAGGGGGCGACTGACAGGAGTGTCCCCCGGGAGGATGGCACCCGGCAGTCAGTGTCCTGCGAGGCGGAGCAAACCCGCTGTGTCCTCCATGAGCCAGAGGCACGTGAAGGGGCTGACAGAGCTGAGAAAGGGACCCCAGACATCTGCCACCATGAGGCCAGAGACAAGAAGGGGGAGGTGACGTTGCCAGTCCTGGGCTGGGGGCTCTAAGCTGCAGGAACCAGAGCAGAGGAGACCCTGGGGACCTAGCCGTGGCCCGCCAGGAGCCCGGGTGATGTGGCCCACAGGGGCTGTGACCATGGGCACAGCAGGGCACAGGAGGACCGGAGGTGAGGGCCCCGGGCTGGGCTGCTTGGGCTGCCACGTGAGGACAGCAAAGGACGCAGCTCCCACTGCCCCGGTCCAGGCCGAGAGCACACAGCCACGCTGAGGTTTGGCCTCCGGGGACCGGCCTTTCAGGGAGGACAGGGCACTCCTTGGGGCCGGCCCCTACCAGGGAGGCACAGTGGACCCGGCTCTGCGGCTGGATCCTCTCCTCTCCCCTCCCCATCTTGCTGGGCCTGGCCAGGATGAAGCCCCCGCTTAGCTCTGCAGCACTGGGGAGAGGCTGACGCCCCGAAAGGACCAGGCTGGGGCAGCCTGCCTCAACTCCTACCCTAATGGCAATTTCACACTTCTTCGGGACTCAGCCAACACTGTGATGCTGCTTGATAAGCAGGGGTCTGGGAAGCCCATTCAGAACGGAGCAAAGCCCTTAGGGAGCACCCTTAAAGCACACAGTTTCCCAGAGTGACTGTCACGTGGCTGGTATTATTTGTCCCATTCTACAAAGAGGGAAACCAAGGCTCGGAGAAGCAAATTACAGTGGACCCTTGAGTTACGACCAGCCTGACATACGAACTTGGGTTACGACGGGAATTTTAGCTTCAACTTACGAACAAAGTCTTGAGTTAGGAACCAAATGTCCGTTGCTTGTGGTTCCAGATGGTCTCAGATACAGATTTAACTCTTAAAGAGTTCTGGAAGGAACATGACAGCATCCTCTCCTGTGTGGGGTTAACTGAGAAATCCTGGGCATTGTCTCTCCGAGGACACTGAGATCTGCCTGTGTACAGGAGAGAGACTTGAAGGCTGTGTAGAGGAGCCTGAGCCTTCAATTGACCAACTTGAGTTACAACCAGCCCTCTTGAACAAATTGAGTTTGTAAGTCAAGGGTCCACTGTGCCTGCCAAAAAATACTGGGTCCAGGACTGACAGTAGTATCAGCCAGCCCGGCACAGAAATGGACGCCTGTAATCCCAGTTACACGGAGGCTGAGGCAGGACGGCAAGTTCAAGGCCAGCCTGGGCAACTTAGTGAGACCCTGTCTCAGAATAAAATTTAAGAAGGGCTGGGGGTGTAACTTAGAAGTACAGCACTTACCTAGTGAGGTTCTAGGTTCAATTCCCAGCTCTGTAAAAAGAAAAAAAAGTAACAGCCAATAATTATTTGACATTCTACATGCACCTAGCTCTAATAAAATGTTTATAGCTGTAAACTTATCCTACACAGATTCAGTGAGACACTATTCTCCCCACTTTGTAGGTGAGAATATCGAGGTTCCAGTGATACTAAGAACACTGCTGACGTCACAGGGATGCTAAACGGCAGAGGCAGGACTTGAACCCTGGATGGCCCAGGTCCAAAGCCTTTTCTCTTAAACACCATCTCCCCCACAGCTTGCATGGCCCTGCCTGTACCCCCAGGACCCTGCTGAGTGCTGCCATGTTGAGTTGGAGCTTGGGGAGCCAGCCCTCTGCTGGTCATCTTCAGGGGGGCATCTAACATCCAGAAAGGTGACCCCAGGCTATAAGCCTAGGCCTCTGCTCAGGGCATTAGAGTTGAGGACAAGCAGCTGTGTCCCTAGCTGCCAGCAGCCTGTCTTACTGTGCCAACTGCTGCAGCCCTGGGCCAACCCAGCTGCCCACTGACACTTTGTTCTTGCCCCTGGTCAGGGACTGGATTGTGACTCTAGTAAAGCCCAGCCCCCAGGGCAGCCCTGTGAGCACAGAGTCTCTCGGGCAGGGGCTGCCCACCACAAACTGACCCGGAGTTCCTGCAGGGCGGTTCCCGGTGGTGACTCACTCGGCTCTGGTGACTCAGTCCTGCCCTGTCACACACAGCCCCCACCCTTCCAGCTCCTTCCCGATGCCCTTGGACACACAAATAAAATTCCAGGAACTGAGCTGCGGCTGGTTTTAATCCCGGAGCTCATTCCAAGTGGATTCTGGGAAACGCTCTGATTCCCTGTGAGCTAGGGTGCTGCTGCAAGGCTGGAGTCCTGGTGGCTGAGTGGATGGTCCTCACCATTCTCCCTTGTGTGCCATTAACAGAAGGTGATTCTGAGAGCTGAAGGTGGGAGGGGGAGGCCGGGGGATTCCTGAAGAGCATACAGTAGGCGCCGGTCCAGAGCCCACACGTTATCCTACGTAATCCTACAGCAGTGTGGCTCAGCAGCTGCATTAGGGACAATCCCTGGTTTTACCCCATCCTAGTGTAGCCGTACAGAGGCTTGGACAGGTCAAGGCACCGCACAAAAGTCACAGGCTTCAGGGGCCACAGTCACCTCTGCCCACTGTCTACACAGCCAGCCCCCTGTGTCCTTGGTTCCACACCCATGGGCTCAACCAACTATGGATCCAAAGTATTTTGAAAGTAACTGCATTTGTACTAGACACACAGACCTTTTTCTTGCCATCATTCCCTAAGACATGTAGTGTAACAACTATTTATATGGGGTTATAGTTATATTGGGTTTCGTAAATAATCCAGAGAGGAGGTGAGGTGTACAAGGCTGTGTGCAGACACCATGCAAATACTGCATCATTTTGTGCAAGGCTGCTGTGCAGCCGTGGGTTTTGTTATCTCTGAGGGTGCTGTGCCCAATCCCAGGGGTACCGAGGGTCACTGGGGAGGTTACACAGGGAGCTCAGCCTGGTTGTGAGGTCCACTTTCACTACAGCAACAAAGGGATGGCCCGAGAAGGCTCTCCAGACGAGGGCTCTGAAAGTGGCTCAAAGTCAGCCCCGCCAACAGAGACAAAGGACCCTCAAACACCTGCTGCTCTCCGGCCCACGGCCCCCCAAATCCACGGACTCCAAACCAGCACCTCTAAACTCTCCTGGAGAAGTAACCCAAGTCCTCCCTGACCAGGTGCTGCTGGAGGACGCCAGCATTTCTCCCTGGGAAACCGCCCTTGGCAACTCGAAGTCCAAATGTACCGGCTGAGAGGGGAGAGAAGGAAGGAAGGCAACTAAGTCAGAAAGAAACCAGGGCAGGGCTAGGGCAGGGCTGGGGCAGGGGCAGGGGCAGGGGGCACCCGGGTCCCCAGGAGGGGTAGGCAGGGCCGGGGCTCCGAGGGGTGGGCCTTAGCTCCCTGGCCCAGATTCAATTGGCTCAGGCTCCAATTGGCCAGTCAGAGGCTGTGAGGGTTCAGAAGGCCTTAGGCACTCCCAGGCAGTGGGCACAGCAGGGCAGAGGGCAGGAGGCAGGGACTGACCAGCCGTCTGCTGCAGACCAGACGATGCTGGGCAGAGAGTCAGGGGACTGTCTGGGCTGGCTGGGACATGGAGCTCCCGGTTCCAGGCTGATGTGCCAGGTGCCTCAGGGCAGCCAGGCTGGCCTCTGAGTTGGGAAACAGCATTATTGGGACGACTGGCTTTTCACATCGGTGGGCCATGACCAGCCCATTTGTTGTGAAATCGGTTCAGGGGTCTTGATCACAAGGGTTTTACAAAGAAAGAAAAGAGAACAGAAAAGATCGAAGTGCCTTGCGAGGACTAGCGGGAAATGTTTTGCGAAACTTCTGCTTGGCTTGCAGATGGGTCACACCTCCGTGAGTGCAGACTGTATTTCTCCCTGAGGTTGAGAACACACAACACAAAACCAAAACCTTGTGGGGTACAGGGACAAGTCCAGTGGCTGTCCTGGGTCCTCAGAACCACCTCGAGGGCTGCTCAAGCATGCTGCTGGGCCCACCCCAATTCCAAATTAGTAGGGAGGAGTAGGACCTGAGAATGTGCATTTTTAACTAGTTTCCAGGGAATGTCGGTGAGCCAGGGGATGAGAGGCTATCTAAGGCTCCTGCGGGAGAGAACGTGGCCCAGCTACGGTGCATTAGTGTGTGCACATATTTGCGGGTGGGTGTATTGCTCATATATGGTGCACGGGTCAGGGAAGTTGGAGCTACACGTTACCAGGTTTGGGCCGACCAGGGTTTGGTAGGCCAAGACCAGAAATCAAAAGTAATCAAAATTCACCCGAATGCGAACCCCCTCTCCCTTTCCTGGTCCAGAACAGCAGGGCAGGCTTCCTCCCCGGGAAGGGACCCGTGGGGCTGGGCCCCTGGCTCCCTCCCCAATTTCCACCTCCGTCTGCCTCCCTGTGGCAGCTCCCCCAGTGGATCAGAGGTTCCGGGCCTGGGAGTCCCCCGAGGGAGCAGGAGGCTCCCTCAAGCCAGGTCCCCCAGCTCTCTGCCACCCTGCCCTGGAGACCCTGGGCCCCACCACAGGGTCTGTTTCCTGTTCCCCAGCCCCTCACGCCTTCCCTGCACCTCACCTCTGCATGGAGCTCAGGGCCCTGGTACGCAGGGAAGAGAGAGGCTTCTTCCTGCCCCCCCCCCCCCCCCCCCCGCTCCAAGCACCAGCAGAGACTCCGGGGAGCGGGGCGGGGGGTGGCAGGTGAGGGCAGAAGCCTTCATCAAGGGTCCACTCCACCCCTACTACTCAGCACCATCTCCTCACTGGGGAAGAAGGGGGGCGGCCCTGCACCCCGTGCCCCCGCAGAGACACACCCCGCACTCCGGAGCTTGCACATGGAGTCCCAGGGGAGCTCTCCCCCAGCCTCAGGGTCACGTGGCCAGCGCTGCCCTGAGAAGACCCAGCCCACCGAGGTGCAGCCAGGAAGCTGCTGCCTCCCTTCCCCGACGCCGGCCCTTCCCAGCGTCCCAGACGCCATGGTGCTGACAGAGGTCCCTGTGCTGCCTTCCACCCTCCCCGCCCCGGCCCCCCGCTCCCTGGTCTTTTTGGCCCTGGAGGTCAGAGGTATGTGCCAAACCCAAGTCTGGCCCTCTCCCCCTGCATCCCATCTTCCCCTAAGGCAGGAACCTTCCCCACAGAAGGGACATCTGTGAACCCCCCAGACCTGCCTGCCCGGCTAGCCCCACCCTCCTCCGCACCTCCGTCCTGCTGAAACCAGCTACTTCCTCCTGCGCTGTCACCACTGTGACCCCTGACACCTCACCGCACACCTGCCAGTGCCTCAGACCCAGACAGCACTCGGACCAAACCACCTGGACAAAGCAGCACCCAGACAGGCGGTTGGGGAAGAGGCTGGCCTCACAACGACCCTACTCATCCAGGCGGACTTTAGAAATGACGGCTTCCTACCAGATGAAAATGTCTTTCAACCGAAAAGCCCCAAACCCAAATATAAGGCTTTACATTTTTTTGCTTCTTTTTGTTACCTACAAATGTTAAACTTCCCGTAGAACTCATAGTTTCCAGAGAAATCTTCCTCAGAAACCCTGGCCTGGAGGATGTTTCCGGCCCTCCTTGGGGATCCTCCAAGGTGGGGCTCCCGCCTAACCCTACAGCCCTCACTGGCCAGGCCAGGAGCTCTGGACCTGCATGGCAGCTGCACCTGCTGCCAAAGTTTCTAGAAGCTCATTCCCTGGTGTGTTCTTGCTCCCTGAACCCCAGACAGCCCTGCCTGGGAAGTCCTTCCCCACCGCCCTGCCCCAGCCCTCTACATCCCCCAGTAGCAGTCGCCTCCTCGTGCTCCCTCCAAGCTTCAGCGCAAGGCCACTCCAGGGTATGCGCTCCCAGCCCCAGGAGGAGGGGGCTATTATTGGTCCCAGTGCTTAGGGAGCAAACCGAGGCTTAGGAGGACATGGAGAGGTTGGTAAGTGCTGGAGCAAGGGTGGGAGGCAGGAGCTGAGTAACTGAGAGACACGCGGCCAACAGGGACCTGCTCCAAGTCTGAGGGTGCTGCCGGCCAACTCCTTCAACAGATGCTCTCTAAGGACAAAGCAAGGCACCTTGAGCCAACAGCCAAGAGTGTGCAAGACAGACATCCACATCCACATGGAGCTCCGTGGGCCACCCAGAAGCACGTCTCCGTTCTAGCCTCTTGCAGCATGGAATGGGCCTCCGGTCCATCCTCCTGCAGGTCCCAGACAGGTCCTTCTGGGCCCTGGGCTCCTGCACCACATTTGTAACTGTGCGGCTCCCAGTATCAGGACTCAGAATCAGCAATCTCTGCATTAGGGAACCGGCCTGAGTGCAGCTCCTCTGACCTCTGAGCCTGGCACCCATGACAGACAAGTACTGCGGGCAAGGGTGCCTGTCAGCACCGGGTCTGCTAACCCTCCATTAGGAGCCTCCCTCTAGGTGGGGCAGGGCAGGCCATGGCGT